AAGTCTGTCAAACAGCGCCTGAATACTGGACTAAGTTATCTTTCGAGTCTTATTATGCTAATACTGTTAAATACACACAATGTTTACATAAACAGGCTATGTCTAAAGTGAAAGCAAACATTTGAGAGAATATCTGGTGTAATATGCGTCTATATTAAACGCGTCGCGTGCTGGTCTAAAAGCGACAGGAATAATACTGCCGCATGTCCTTAAAGGGATAGTTCACCAAAAAAAAAAAAAAAAAAAAAAAAAAAGATCCGTCATTATTTACTCACTCTAATGTTGTTCCAAACCTGTATTCATTTCTTTCTTGTGCTGAACACAAAAGACAATTTTTTTTTAATGTGGGTAACCAAACAGTTGCTGGTCCCCATTAACTTCCAGGAGAGAACCTAAAAAAAAAACTATAAGGAGACCAGCAACTGTTCGGTTACCCACACTATATAAAATAACTTTTATTTTCAACAGAAGAAAGAAACTTATTCGGGTTTAAAACATCTTGAGAGAGTAAATTAAGACCATTTTCATTTTTGAGGGAATCTCTTTAGTAAAAGAAAAAAAAACACAAGGAGAAAATCACTCACTGACCGAGAACTTTAATAGTAGCTTTAATAAGAATCAATTTATTCAGTGAAGTCTCTGTAGTGTTTTAATTTCATATTTGTTTAATTTAATTACTTTCTTCAATACTACTGCTAAATACACCTAGTGCATCTGAAAAATAAAGCACTATTTATTTAATTTGAATATTAATTTGTGTAATGTTTATCTTGTCTTATTTTTTTAATAACAAAGAAAATAATGACAAAGATTCTTTTACCTAAGGCTTTGTTTTTAACATAAGGACATTAGTTTGGCTGTAATGAACAGCCACTTGCAAAATATTAAAACCAACTTGAAAAAGAATCGTGATAAAAAATCGTGATCGTGATTTTCCTAAAAAAATCGTGATATGATATTTTTTCCATATCGCCCACCCCTATATATATATATATATATATATATATATATATATATATGTAGCATTTCCAACATTGATTATGTAAATAATGCAATCTGTTTCTGGCCATGATTTGATAAAAAACTTGTTTATGGATATTTCATGAAAAGCATGTAGGGAACATCACATTCCACATCGAAAAAGTGGAGAATAGTTTGTTACATTTCAAGTGGATCTGGGTGGACTAGCACAAGCAAATGTCCAACACAATTAGATAAGGATGCTAGGACAACTGACAGTCACCTCAAGCACAGGAAGGACAGGACACCTCACTGCACCTAACCTAAGACTAATCCCTAAGGTTTAAGCCGACTGCCATAACCATTAGGGCTTTTTGAATGCATTCTTATTTTTGGAAACCTTAAGATTGATGCAAACTACACGCATTCATTTCATACTTATTAGAGAAATAAGTATTCTCAGTGACAGCTTTTGCAGTGCAACATACTCAAATTCAGCTGTAAATGTACAAATGAATGCTTGACAGTTAAATCTTTTCCCATTTGTTTAGAACATTGCCAAAGGTATTATGGTGGTGGTTTGGAAAGTGAGAAATGCATTGGCAAAAATGTGTAGACACTTTAAAGACTTCTAACAGTGTGCTTTCTGTGCTTTTCTGCTTACACTGAGTGCCCCCCGCTGATGTCAGCAGCCTATCCTTTCAACAGACACTCCTTTTGTTCTGAGTCTCTGGATCATCCAGTGAGACATTAACAGATACACTAATGTTTTGAGTCTCAGTCCTGTAAGCGGAGAGACAGAAACAGATCAACCAGTTCTGAGTCTCCGGCCTGTGAAGGGAGAGACAGAAACAGATTTCATACTCTGAGTCTACGTCTACACCTTGTGATGCAGCAACAGATACGACCACATTCTGAGCCTCCAGTCTGGAGGAAAGAGACATTAACAAACACTACTTTCAAAGTCTTCATCCTGCAAGACAGTAACAACAGCACATCCTGAGTCTCCATGCAAGAGAGACGAAAGCAGATTGACCAAGTTCTCTGGCCCATAGAAGCAGAAGACATACTGACACTTGTGCAACAAGGTTAAGCTCCGGCCAGTTTCACTCCAAGGTACTTTCGTCTGTGTGTTCCAGATTGTTAAGTAACTTCTGCACCCACATCAGGGCCTCATCTGCATGTTCTAAATAAATCCTTCAAATTGCTCAATGACGAACTATATATTGTACTGTATATACCTCTGTAAGTACACAAGAAAAAAAACAGGACACTACTATGAACAGAAACAGAGGAGAGAGATGAACACAATGAATTGTGAACATTAAATTATTGAAACATTGACATTTTAATCCAAAATCAGAGATTTTGATATGCATGTTTTCTGATCATCCCTTACATTCAGTTTTATGGAACTAAAAGCAGGGACACTACTAACTCAACTATATTTTTTTCTATAGCGTCACAGTTTCTCAAAGTGCCAGACAAATACAGCTCAGATTAAATTATAAATACAAATCATTGCATAGTGAGCTATTTAAAATGTTATTGCCCCCTAATGTAGGTTCAGTGTAGCTGGCTACTTTTTGTTAGTAGCGAGTAGTGTCTCCTTCTGTTATAATAAAAGTGCACACAAAAATGTTTCAACGATTTAAGTGAAGTCACTGCAACAACCGGACTTCAGCGAATCTAGTAGACCGTGCTTTTATTAAAATCCCCAAGACGAAACCATAAATTATTGACATTAGGTTTTATATAGAGCGTTTTAGACCATTAGTGTGAAAGGTTTTAAGGCAACCTCAGTGACATAGCATTTTTTTTAATAGTCCTTTTTTGGCACAAGCAACATTTTCTCGTTGATTAAACAAGTTTAAATGCACTGTGCAAGATGCAGTAGTATTTCAGAAGCGACTCGGATGTAAAACTATTTTATACAATGTTGCCTTAAGAAAGCAAAACCACTAAACAATAAAAGTATGCCTCCAGCTATAATTGTTTATTGGTTATGCTCTCTTAAGGAAACCAGCAAACCAATGATTCTCTAAATCAGCAGAAATCAGACACAAAAACTAATTTTGACTATCTGCACCCCACTGTTTCCAAGCAGACCAGAATCAAAAGATGTATCTATATTTTTGAAGATAAGTGAGATGTTTTCCTGAAGAGTCAGGAGAGCAATGCTTGCCTGTGCAAAAGTCACTGCCACTATGCTTGTGTGTTGTGGGTTGCCAGTGTTATCTAAAATGTTGCGATGTGGTTGTTAGGGTGGTACTAGGTGGTAGATTACTGGCCAGTCCCACATCACAATGATATTCTGGTGTCAAGCATGGTTCATGTCCCTCCTCCAACCAAAGCTACAAGATTTTTGCTTTATCACTACCAGGTGAAAATGTAGGTTTAATCACTTTGAAAAGTAATATCACACCTCTGCTCAACAAGCATGCATGATTTGATGGGTCATTCAATATGCAGGATACATTACTTGCTAAATGTTAAATACTAAAAGGATAAAAGATTTGAGTAGCTCAAATCCTCCTCAACCCTAAGTTTGAGCAACAATAGTGGTTCTTGTCTTAAAAAAAAATTCAAAAAAAAAAATCAAAAAAAAAGATTGTCTCGACAAGTCGAACCACAAACGACGTTCATACAGTTCAGCTCACTTGGCACGTCATTCATGGTTCGACTTGTCGAGACGTTTCCAAAGATGGCTCCGCCTGTATACACGAAGTGGACTGTCTTTATAAAATATGTTCTTATTAAACGGTCTGTAGTCTTACAAAGTTCTCAATGCTTCGTTTTACATGTAGGGACCCTCATTATGTTACTGTGTTAGTGTGGGGCTATTTTGAGCCTTGTTAGTGGTATAAACCAGCGATTTCTTTTTACTTAATATATGCCCCCATATACAGTACTAGTGTATACGCTAAACAGTTTTTTAGAGATAAAACTCTTTACATTAGATTATCATGAAAGCAAATTCAGAGAACGGTCGACTAGGTACCAAAGTGTAATTAGACCAAAGGTTAATTTTGCGCCGGAGTTCTCCTTTATGTAGGACTTAGTGTTGTAATTTCATAATTTCTTGAATTGTATTTTAAATATGGTTAAAGTATGGCTTCTGCAGAAAGTACTGACAATAATTTATGGTAAAAACTGAATTAAAAATATTCTATTTTTTGTTTTTTTCACAAGGGGATGTATTATCTATACATCTTAAGCATCTGTGGTTTATACAATAGGTTTCTCCCAAAAAAAAAAGTGTGATTTTTCACTGCACTACTGGCATTTCAGAAAAGTTTTCAGATTCCCATCCACTTTGCTAAAGTTTCTTTTGTGCAAAGAGTAATGAGGCATCTGTTTGTTATCATAACAGACGTTCTTTAAACTTTCAAACAGTCATCACATTTACTTTTAAGATACTTAGAACTGCATTAAACCATTTTCAACTATCAGAGTCTAATTCTAAAACACAGCTTGCTTATTTCCAGTGCTCATAAACACACACACACAGTGGTATCGTGGAAAACAGGCAGAGGACCAAAGCGGGCTACACAGCTTGAGACAGATGTCCCTCGGGACACAAGATAGAGACGCTCTGAAAAAGAAAGAAGAGGGGGAAAAAAACAAGCTCCTACAGTGGAACATGCGCTCCAGATGCTTGTGTTCCTCCACCAAGAGTCCAGCTTAATGTAGGGCCCTTTACCGGCCCCGTCCCTAGAGAGAACTCCTGTCTAACCACCAGCGGCCCTCTCCAGATGTTTGGAGGCGCACAAAGAGACACAATGGGTGTCGGAGAGACGATGGGGAAACATACTTGAAAGAACAACATCTTTGGGGGGGATTTAGTGAGGAAAAAGAAGGATGGTTTACTCAAGTGTAGGGGCGATAATACTATTGCACAAATACGGTGCAAACATTTCCAGCAATGGGTGAGGATAAACAGGAAGTGTGGATGAATAATCATATCTAATTATTTGGATGAATGAATAAATTAGGAGGTGGGCATTTGGATGGATGAAAGCAAGGACAGGCGGACTCACCGGGTCTTCCTTTCCTATCCAGAGTGCCCTTGCCGGCGTTCAGAGAGCAGTACAGAAAGCCATCCATAAAAGAAGGAACATCAGCCGTAAAACCGCTGTCAAGTACTGCTTCCAGCTTAGGAAAATCTATACAGAGAGAGAAAGAAACAGAGAGATTAAAAAGAAAAAAGAAAAACAGATGATTAGGAATAATCCTATAATGTGGTGAGGACGAGAAATGCTGTTTAAATGGAGATCAGTCGCATTATATGCAAAACTCAGCTCGCTATTCCTGCTTCTTTCAAGTGAAATTCAAAGTTTTTAAAAACTATTTCTGTCAGAAGCATCTTCATAATCAGTCAGTCTTCATCCAAGGTGTGAAATGGCTTTTAACAGCTAAATTTCATCCATTTTAATACATCTCTTTCTCATTTTCCAAGGTTATTTGTTTAAGGCTTGTAAAACTTCCATCCAAACATTGAAGCTCAAGGTTAGAAGTTTCGACTCTGCTCCCCTTTTGCCACTCTAACTCTTCATCTGCTCTTCCCATTTACCTCCTTCACCTTTTACACCTTTTGCTGCATACTACTTTATCACGTTCTGATTCAATTAGCCACCATGCTCAGGTTCAATTTTCTTCGGGAAGGCCGGCAGTACCGACAAGAATTTAATCACGCACTTCCAGTCGCCAACATGAAAAAAGTTCAAATAACTTTAATTGAAAAGCCTTTTAATTGAGGGCTCTTTCCATCCACCCATCTCTTCCCTCCAGCTACTGATACTTCTCTGTTCGAACGAGGAGGATTAAAAGTGTTAATGAGATGGAAGAAAGTCTCTGCGCACATGCCTCAACCATGCAAAATGAAAACCTGCATAAGTGTATTATTCAAATGTATGTGAATGTGCATTTTCCATTGGACTGTAATAGTCTGAGAGAAACAAAATAACTTGTTGCAAGTTGAATGTGTGTGCATGTGTTCAAGATGATGATTTGAATTATCCGACTGAGAATCACATTTACAAGCCATTAAGTTAATGAGGCCACATCTCCGCACAGATTTAGAGGTTACACAAATGTTGTCCTGCTGTTGTTACGATGTTAGTAAGCTTAACAAAACATTGGCAGAACACTGTAAAACATTTGTGGCTGTGCTGATTGGAGGATTGCTTAATTAGGATCGTTGGCACACTTCCTGTAAAAGCCCCAAATGAGCAATGTAATGACACACACACACAATCTACAGCTAATTATAGACATGTTCAGGGGCAATGTCGTCTTGTGGTTGAGGTGTGTGTGTGTGAGTTTGTCTGTCTGGGTGTGTGTGTTAAAGTCCTCCAATAGCATGAGTGAAATACCAATTGTGATGAAAATTTGACTGCGAGTACCAGTTAGAATTAACTAAGTCAGTACAGACGGTGTGTATTTAAATGCAAAGCAGGAATCCAATAAAACTTTGCTTTAAAGTACATTGTTATTTATGATCCACACTACCGTTCAAAAGTATCAGGTCAGTAAGATTTGAATTCAATTCAATTAATACTTGTATTCAGCAAGGATGCATTGATTTGAAGTAACAAACAAGGACACAGACCCCAAACTAAAATGTGGACGCACATATTTCACAGGATTTTGCAAAAGACAGTGCTCTGAACATGTCATGATGAAGTGACACACAAACACACACCTGAGAGCTTGTTGTGGTAAAGGAACTCCATCTGCAGCCTCTGGTTTGCTTTTTGAGCCAGTAGATATGGAGTGGAGTACTCAGGGTCGCCCGTCGCACACATCACATCCGCCCCACTGAAAACAAGGGCCATGGTCTGCAGGACATCAGGGTGAACCACAGCAGCACACAGGGCCTTCACACACACATGGGAGCAGAACAAATCACAACTGAGCATCAGTGATCTGAAGAGCACAGCTGCACTGTTAGGCGCGTGACAAAGACTACACTGAAACTGACAGGACATGATGAATTAACTAACAACATTGTCAAAAGTACCACTCCTTTGCGGCTATGAGAGAGGAACATTTGTTGTGTGCTGTTTTACTTGGAATCCTGGTATGGAAAAATATTGACAGGAAACGGGGCATCCAAAGAAAGAATGAAGTCAGTCCAATTAAAAAGAGATGGAGGGAGAAAGAGTCAATAAATACAATAGTGTGTGTCTCTGAGAGAGAGAGAGAGAGAGAGAGAGAGAGAGAGAGAGAGAGAGAGAGAGAGAGAGAGAGAGAGAGAGAGAGAGAGGAGTTGGCAGGAGTAATTCAGTCGATCACTGCTTTCATCTAAAACAGTACGATCTAGCCAAGCTATCGATCCCCCTCAAACAAGCTAGATCCACTAGAGAACAAGGACACTGAGACAGTAAACCACACACATACACATTCATGGATACCTAATAATAACATAATAAGAAATGTTTCTTGAGCAGCAAATCAGCATTTTAAAATGATTTCTGAAGGATCCTGTGACACTGAATACTGGAGAAATGGCTGCTGAAAATTCAGCTTTGCCATCAGTACAGTATGCTATAAGCATAACAATTTGAGTGAAAAGATGAACTGATCTCTTACATGTTCTCTAGGTCACATTTGCTGAAGAGGCTTTCTCTGGCACTGATTCTAATCTGTGTTGTGGACTATAATCAAATGTATACTGTATGTACGTATACTGTATATGAATGAATGAGAACACAAACATCATTTTTTTTCAACATTATTTTTTTTAGTTTTCTTTCATACTGAATAAACTATATTTTCCATCTGCTAAATCTGACCTTCACACAAACCTTTCTGCATGTAACATATTTATTACCCTATTAATTAGTATGCTTATTGGGACATTTAACTTGCTACCAACAATGTGGTGATTCAGGTTTTTATTTTATTTTTTAGTAGGCCAAACCCAACCCACAAAGAACTTTTTTGGAATTGTTGCTATATCTCATGAACTCAAAACCACTGCCTGTCAGGACGGCTCTACTTCTTGAAACTTCAGGATGAACAAAAGTATCAGAAAAGAACTAAAATAAAAACTTAAAAGACATATATCACATCAGGGCTTAAACAAAAACTTTTGAGTACAGGGAGGATTTTTCTGGAACACTTTGCTTGTGTCTGTCCCAGACGTACCCTTCCATTTATAATCTAATCTCACCTCTGTATGTACCGTCACTATATTCTTTATCTCCTTCTCTTTGTCTCTCTCTGACACACACGCAATCATATAACTTTTTCAGAAGAACCCCTGAAAACTCCTCAGTGCTGCTCTCATATCTCACACACACCTAATCCACAGCTCCAATCCTCTCTCCCCTTCTCGTTTCCTCTCTTTTGCCCCCCTCAATGGAAAACAAAAGCAGGCTTGATCTGTGTTACTGCTGACGGTGAGGAAAAACAGCATCTTTTGGCTTAGGAAAGAATAATGCGGACAAACTCAGTAGGAACAATAAACACACACACACAACATTATGATGAATTATGCACAGGAAATCCTGTTAACTCATAACACATCCATTATCATCTGTTCAATTTCTTTAACGTCCTGTTGTCAAAAATGTTTGTTTTCCGAATGTAATTTTAAAGAACTTGCATTGAATTTGCAGTATTTTGCGCTAAAAGATTCAAAGTAGAATCTTATCATGGTTAACATATCCCTGGCAACCTTTTCTGAAAATTGGTGAGAGCCAGTTACCATGGTAACCTTAATTTACACCTGGGCTACCAGGTGAACCAGAGCAACAACAGATGTACACACACACACATTAGGGTTGGGCCGATGGTCGTGATGGCTGACAGACATCATGATGTTTATCATGTGTCTCTAAAAATGAACTAAATATTAACAAACTTGCCTACCATGTCAAGACCTTCTATCTTCTATTCTGCTTCTCGAATATGTGTAAGTGAGTTTGTTTTGTCATTTAAAAAAAAATATAAATTATCTTGATCTGTAACATGAGATGGGCACCATGTTTGGGCCACAGTTCAGAGATTCCTGTCTGTTGGATTTATTACAGCGTGTGAATTCATCAGTTTCTCCCGAAATACATGAAAGTAAGTGGCCGGTGAACTGGGAGAAAAATAGTTGACTTTATAGTTATTTACACTGTGTCTCTCTGATATGAATAAAAACCGTCGTCAAATATATTTAAATGAGTCAGTCTTTGGCTCAGCGCCAGCCATAGTGCGAAAGTTTGAATCTAGCAGTTATGTTACGTCACTGTACATTTGCTCCTAGTGCTAAGCTGCGGCATAGCGTGCCGAAATCGAAATTGCTGATGAGATGTAGAGGAAAATACGTAGTGAAAATGACAATATTACGAAAATAGCTCCCCCTCCCTTCCGATGTCATCGTCCATCGCGATGGTTCACTGTAGACATCGTCTGATGCCAAATTGGTAGACATCGCCCAACCCTAACACACATGCACAAAACCACCAACATCTCGAGGACTAATAGGCCTTTTAATGAGGTAGAAAAAAATAACACCAAGTCAAAGGGCCAAAGTTAGTGCACAAACTCTCTCACACAAACCTTGTTGAGTTCCTCCTGACTGTTTAGACCTTCCAGAACTTTCTTGTACTTCCTCTTTTTGTACTTCCTGCTAATAAAGGATGCGTGCTGCTCCGTCGATGACTGCTTGCAAAGCTCATTCTCTGGGGGAATATTTGCTGCCCAGAAGCTGTTCGAATTTTTATTCCCAACCTCTATAAAAAGCTAAAAAGACGAACAGGAAGTCAGGGAAAAATATATTGCACGGTAAAATAATTAACTGCCATTAAAGATCTGTACCTCAATGAGCTCGTTGGTCCATATGCTGCTGTCTAGCTTCATACTGCGGACCTTCGAGATGCCAGGACCCAGGTGTCGATGCTCACCTGGAAACAGACATAGATCTGAACAATTCACATCTAAAACAAACTATGTTTTCATGAAATGGAATATCAAAATCTCTTTAATATTTACACATGTAAGAGGTTACTCTACACTAACACATACAGTACTCCCGTTTTGTTTTCCACGTTTCTGAAATGCCATAATTCATAATCAGCCCATTCGTGACAACACGATTTTCCTTTAAGTGTCCCTCAGCATACATATGTAAATAAAGAAGTGTGTGCTGAACAACTTATGTCTTTTCATTAATCACACAATCAATACTGCTGTTGAGTCAAGATTATTGGAAACAATCAAACTATTGGAAAAGCATAGCTAAAGTTTATTTTTAAAGACTTGCCTGAGTGATTGAACGAGTATGTTTTCGTTTGTTTGTCTCATTTCACAAGGGACACTTTTCTTAACTACGTTCAACATGCTGCTGGTTTTTCAAAATATCTCGAATTGAAAGCAATGACAGTGCCAAGTATTTTGGCCTCAGAGGCAATCATCGTGGCCGCATTGTTTCATTTTAATTTGACTCGGGGCTAAAGAATTTACAGGCACACATGTCAAAACGTACGTCACACATGCTGTGGAGGAGTGTGTGAGGATGTGGTGTTGTTGTGAACTTGTTCGTCTAAAGTATAGGAAACTCAGAAGCGAAGACCAGAAGGCTTGGGTGTATCTTTTTAAGCAGGATTCTTTATTGCTGTAGTCTGCTTCGCCCAAAAATCTCAGCCAAGTCTGCCTAAGGCAGTATACATTGTAGTTGATATACCTTTCGAGGGGGAGGAGTTACGTAGAGGTGGAAACAAAGCACGAGAACTGGAAGAACAGCAGGACTTCTCGTACTGAGACAAGAACTCCAAGACAAATGGTGACGGAGAGATCAGGACAATCACGATTATCCCGCTGGGAACCCCTACCGTTTCCTGATCTCATCATTTATGCTCAATAAAAAATACTATTGTATTGGAATATAAATTAAACATTTACATAAATGTGTAATCATACAGTGTGATGAAGTTTGCCAATTGCAGCAGTGGTCGTTAACTCGTGTTTCGTCCATTGAAATGAAGTGTTTGGGAGGGAGAGTAAAAAGCTTTACAAATATTTAAACGTTTTTGTTAGCCAACTTCATAAGCTAACCTCCAGAAATATAATATAAAGATATGAAAATGCATTTCATAGCCCCTTAAATTAAATGGTCAATTACAGTATGTAAAATGAGCATCTACAGATGCTAAAACTTCTTGTTAACTTAACCTGTACTGCTTAACCTTAAATAAATAAGTATGAATTCACACTAAATGGTATAAAGCAACGACTAGTATGACACAAATACAGACAGAGTCACACTCATTATAAATTTCATCGTATCCGTTCCAGGCACTCTTTTCTCCAGCCTGCCACAGCTATAATTGCAAATGAAAGGCGCGAAAAAGCCATTAATTGCTAATGAATCATAAGTAATTAATTGTGTTTGTTGGTCTGCTCTACGCATATATTTTGCTGAACTCCAGGCACTGTCGTAGTTGTTGTTTATGCAAGAAACAGATGAATTAAACATGGCAGAAAGAAACACATATTTGAATATGGAGTGTGTGATTTTCCGGCATAATTAGCAACATTTTAGAGTACCAGTTTGCCATCAAAGATCATTAGAGCCGCCTGAGAACCGACGGGACTAAAGATGCTTTGTGTAGGTGTTAGTGTGTGTGTGTGTGTGTGTATTAGGAAACTCGCTAAGGGTTTTATAGTGCCATCTAAAAAAATGTTCTGAGACTTGAATCGTTTGCGTCAACATAATCCTATTAAAAGCATCAAAAGAGAATACAAACCATCAGAAAGGTGGAGACATTTCTGTTTCTTTATTTGAAACAATTAAAAAGAAAGGAAGAGAGGGAAATGTGTATACCGAGAGTTTCCATGGTAACCGCAGTCTAACTTGTGAAATGTCTCCAATCACAGAGTTCGATTTTAAGAGCTTATAGTAATTACACGTGTAAAGACACAGACAAACCTGTGTGTTAGAGGATGAGAGACGGGGTTAAAAAAAAAAGACAGAAGTGAATGAGAAGGAAAAAAGTGGCGTTAACGCTAGATAAGTATTATAAATGTGAAGATGGATCATGAAAAAGAGAAATCACTTCACCTGTCTCTCTCTTTCACACTCTCTGTCTCTGACCAAAGACAATTTGCTCTCATTTAATCGTTAGCCGTTCATTATATTCCCAGTATAGCACTTTCGCTCGCCTAATTGTCGGTGGAAGAAGCGCAGCTAATTAAAGTGTCTGTGCCATAGATTCAATGAAGGCTGTGGTGCACATTTAGGGAAAGCGTCTCCCAACTCGATGGCTTATAGCAGCCATTTGCACACGTTCAGCCAGTGTTGCCTCCTATATCGTGACCTAGTGCAACATTAAATGACTGCGCATCTGAAATAATGAGTTAATGTATGGTGTCAGAGGGTGGTCAGAATATTCTAAGCAAAGGGAATTATATCAGCAAAAGGAGCCGAGGAACAAAGGAGAGATGGAGTAAGATTGAGATTAAATATATTCAGTGGATAAGGCAAGAAGCAGTGGCATACTAAATAAATATGCATGTGTATGTGGTACCTTACTATACAAAAAAGGGCAAAAAAATACTTTGAAGAACATTTAGTCTGTGTCTGTAAAGTACAACTAAATATTTAAGTAATTTTCTATGATGTAACACTATTTTTTCTAAATCACACGTTTACAGTGACAATTAATTTGTATGGTCACAAACAATGAGAAGATATTTAATATTTACAGTACTGTTAAACTAGCGTTCAAAAGTCTGGGGTCAGTAAGACTTTCAAAGAAGTCTCTCAAGTGACAAATAGAGCAAAACAGTCATTGTGAAATATTATTACAATTTAAAATAAAATAACTTAATATATTATAAAATGTAATCTATTCCTGTTATCAAAGCTGCTTTCAGCATCACTACTCCAGTCTACAGTGTCACATGATCATTCAGACATTATTCTAATAGGCTGATTGGCGCTCAATATTATTATTCTTTTTTTCTTTTGTGGGAACTGTGAATAGAAAAAAAGTAATTAAAATATGAATATTTTTGGTAACAATTTCAAAGTCTTTACTGTTCAGTTCAGTGCCTTGGCTGAATATAATTGCTGAATATAAGCAATTATTTAATTGCAACAAAAAAAAATGCATTTTAACGGTAGTGTATATGGAGTGAAATTTTTGGACCAATTTTACAATGGATTTTCAGAGTGGGTGGAACTACACAGTGCAATACTTCAGAAATAGAAACCAAGTGAACTTTAATGCTTTTACTGCATGTGTGTGTTTGTGTGTGGTTAATGCATTGTGTGTTTCATGTTCCATTTTTCTTGTTTTTGTTCTTGATCTTTTCTTTGTGTTCATAATTGCTTCTCACCAGCACAATTCTTGCAGATGACCACACACAGGTTGATGGAGGCCCATTCCGGCTCAGGTGCTTGACAATCGGCACACTTTCTGTTGGACTCGTTGAACCAAACCTTCTCCAGTACCTCGTAATTGCACAACGTTTCTACGATGGACTCCTGAACTGCCTCTATCCACTCCTCTCGCTCACGCTCCGACTCCACTGTGAAACTGACACAAATGAAACAAAATTCTCACATATAATTTATCAGGTTGATTACACATTCAGTATTACAGTACATTATTTAAAGTCCCCCTGTAGGGAAAATTAAGTTTTTAAATGTTCTTTCTATGTCTATGTGGTGTTTTTAATATGCTTTAAAGGGTTAGTTCACCCAAAAATGAAAATTCTGTCAGTATTTACTCACCCTCATGTTGTTCCAACCCCGTAAGACCTTCGTTCATCTTCGGAACACAAATTAAGATATTTAAGATATTAAGATCGCTCCTGCATACAGTCCATAGGCTTCTTGAGGGACTGGCTCTTGCTGTCCCCGAAAAGTCATTAAAGACATGGTTAAAATAGTCCAAGTGACTACAGGGGCTCAATCTTAAGTTTATCAAACGACGAGAACACTTTTGTGCGCAAAAAAACAACAAAAATAACGACTTTATTTCAACTATTCACTTCCTTCTCCATGAGCCTGTAAGTCAGTTAACGTAGTGTGATTGCGTAGAGCTACGTCACACGTAGGCTCACTATTGGCCGACGCTGGTCATGTGTGTGTGATGCGTGTGACGTAAAATAACAGAAGCTTACGCTATTAAACTAGTAACCTGACTCGAGGCAGAGGGAGAAATAAACGAATAGTTGAAATAAAGTCGTTATTTTTGTTGTTTTTTTGCGCACAAAAGTGTTCTCGTCGTTTGATAAACTTAAGATTGAGCCCCTGTAGTCACTTGGACTATTTTAACGATGTCTTTAATGACTTTTCGAGGACAGCAAGAGCCAGTCCCTCAAGAAGCCTATGGACTGTATGCAGGAGCGATCTTAATATCTTAAATATCTTAATTTGTGTTCCGAAGATGAACGAAGGTCTTACGGGGTTGGAACAACATGAGGGTGAGTAAATACTGACAGAATTTTCATTTTTGGGTGAACTAACCCTTTAAGACAAGCCATGTCCAAATTCATTAGTCAACACCATTGCTGAATATTTTCTCCTTAAAGCTGCAGTTTACCAAAGACCGTCTCAAAAACGTAGTTTGAAATCGCCCCTGTTCTCTATGTCACAAACATGTCGAAACCAATCCTGTCAAAGTGTGGGCGGGATTTAGCATTTCATCATTACTATGCTGAGAAGCAATGTTATCTTGATATATTTATCTTACTGGTTTGAAAAATCGGGTAATATTTCGCAATATAGTAAATTACGCATATGATGTATATTAAAACTATATATGATGAACTATATGCCTTTCTCCAATGACTTTCAAAGTTGTTCAAAATGTTTCTAAAAATACTGTCCGACTCTGAGATGGTGAATGGGTAACATTAGCAACACATTATTAGCTGTTTGATAACGTAGTCAAACCAAATGATAGCCATATCAATCACCATTATGTGGCGGACATGAAGAGCAATGCCGTTTACCGGGTGAGTGGAGGCGGGGACTAATATGCATATCCATGTATCCGTAAATACTAAATGAAGCAAAGGTGTAGAGTTACATTCAAGCTATTTTAAGGCATGAAGAAATTACTGACTACATAAGGACTTTAAAAATGCATATATTATATGGCTACATTCACACCACAGGCAAAAGTGGCCCAAATCAGATTTTTGTGTATCAGCTCTGATTTTTTTATAACAATGTGAACAGCACAAACCACATGGAATCTGATATTTTCGATTCTGATTTGAGCCACTTCCATAAGTGGTCCTAAATTAGGATACGTTCAACACCGTGAGCTTAAATTCTGATTTCAGATCAGATTTTTTTTTTGTATAGCTGTTCACATTGTTCTTTTAAATGGGGCCAATATCAGATTCCAGTGTGAACAGATCATGGTCCTGGACAGACCCGTATGCGCAAAACAACAATAAAAAAAAGCGTCACACAGCACGCTGTCATACAGAAGCAAACACAGAGGACATATAAGTAGGGCTGGGCAAAAAAATCTATTTTTCGATTAATCGTTTTTTAAAATGTGTTCGATTCAAAATCGATTCTCAACGGCCACGAATCGATTTTTTCCATATAAAGGGCTCGCGGACGCGGTATTGCATCTTCTCATCTCTCTGCACTAGGCAAACGCCAAGCGCTGCAGCTGTCGATACACACACGCGTTCAGGAGTCAGGACATGACGGAATATTCACTTAACAATCGGGCCAGCATTGCAACCTATGATCGTAACTAACGTTTATCATTTTCACGTCTTTTTGTGTTTTACAAGCGATGTTAAACCATCCAATGCTCGCGCACTCTCAGAGATGTCTTTCACTGCCTCACAAACAGCTCGCCAGAAACAAAAGTTTTGTCCCTGGATTATATCACTTTAACAGTTAAAACACGCGACATTATGTCAAAACTCTGGTCTTGGTGAGTAACCTCGTAAAGACAGTCGGTAATGTCTTAAATTAGCATTAAACGCGTGTGACAGAAAATTAATGAAACAGTATGGATTCGCGCACTAGTTCTTAAAGTGAACGCAGCCATTTGTGTCAGTCATTAATTCTGTTGTCATAACAACAGAATATAGTATTAATTCTAAGCAATCAGAATTAAAAGCCTTTGTATTTAATTCAGTCTGGACTAAAAAGACTATCCAGTGTTATTTTACATTGGATTACTTTATTCAGTTTCTGTAGTATATCTGACATACCCAAAAAACTACCCCAAAATGTCTCTTAATTTGTGTCTTTATTCTATTGTATTTATTTGTGCTACTTTTTTCAATTTAATTCAAAGATTGAAATCAAGCTTCCATACATAAACTAAAAAAAAAAAACATAAATACATAAACAAAAACAAAAAACAAAAATAAACAAAAAAATTACATTACCATTTAGGTAAGATCAATGTAAAAAAATGTCTAAATATTTATATATTTATTTATCTATATCTATCTTAAACATAAAATAACATGATACTGTTTGATCAAGCTGTGCGACTGTTCTGACTTTTTTTGCATATTGCATCAAAATCCTGTTTATTCTTTGTATGCATTTAGTGTACCTAAAATAAAAAGAGTTTTATATACAGGTTTATGGCTCTTAATTTCTTTGTATTAATTAACCACTAGTAAACTTATGTCCACTGTTCTTTTTTATAAATATAGGATTTGTATTACATCTTCATTATAGTCGAATCGAGAATCAAATCAGGAATCGAGAATCGAAATCGAAAATTGAATCGAAATCGAATCGAACTGAGAGCTTGTGAATCGAAATCGAATCGAAATTGAAATGTGAATCGATACCCAGCCCTACATATAAGTGATTACACATTAATTTAGAGTGTGATCTGCCAGGCAATATAAAAACAAAGACAAGGATGCAACAAAAATAAAGAGTTTTTAAACATTTATGATACAAGCCATCATGTTTTGCATGTATATAGAGCTGTCACTGTTCTGACACATCACTCACTGTCCTTCCACTGACTACCCTTCGCAACTGTCTTGATGTCAAGTATGTAAAACCTTTCAAGTGACTCCCATGAGCGTAGAAATGTGACAAACGTTGCTCTAGAATGGCGTAAAACTTCCGATATGACTGTTCAGACTAAGGTTGCATTGCAAAACATCTGAACTGTATCGGCTTGAGAACAACATATGGTAGTTGCACAAATCGGAATTGAAAAGATCAGATTCCATTTGATTTGTGTGCTGTTCACAGTCACACTGTCGAAAGAATCAGATCTGGGCCACATTTACCTACAGTCTGATCATAGCCTCAGATACAGATCAGGATGTTTTGCAATGCAACCTGTCTGAACAACCATGTCGGAATTCATGTGCCTTTTTTTTTTTCCATCACTCCAAATATTACACATACCATTAGTTCTTTTTGAATAAAAAGAAACAGCAGAAAAGTTAGTCAGTGGAGTGATGCTGAGCTGTTATTCTTCTAAGTATTATGATGACCGCCTTATAAAATAAACTTGAGGAAGCTCTCTTTCTCCTCATCTGTGTTCCCCTTTTCACCCGCGCACAAATTGTCTGGCTTCCGCTAGGCACATAACCTAATAAATGAACGCATAAATACTGACTTCAGTAACCTCTGTGTTTACTTCCGTGTGACAATGTGTTGCGTGCCATCATTGTTATCGTTCTTTTGTTCATTAGGGTCAGTTCAGGACGTAACCAGTTCACACTTGAATCTAATATTGGCCACATTTAAAAGATAATGTAAACAGACGAACAAAACAAACAGATCTGAGCAATAAATCAGAAATGAGCATTAAGGCTTACAGTGTGGATGTAGCCTTAGGCTGAATCCCAATTCACCCCTTGGCCCTACCCCTTGTTTTCGAGTGTACCCCATGGCCCTTAAAACGGAGTTACAAGGGCCAAGGGGTTGAAATATTCCCCTACGAAATGGAACAACCCTTCATGAACCCGATACGTCACCAGTCGTCGGCGATGGCTCTGCCGTTACAGAGTTTGTACAGGATTTCTCCATGACAGCAACTGACAATCAGCGCAGCTGCTCTTAACTTTGAATAAACATGATGATTATAACATCCCTTCCTCGAAATGTATGTCTTTTCTGATCGGAAAGGTAATTTATTATACCATTTCTTAATTTGAACGACTTTAGTGTTGTTATAAGAGTAAATAAAGTGCGTGGTGGAATAATCTGGCGCTAAATTTAAATGTTTAACCGTTTGCGATCCATCTCGCCGGTGATTTCTGATGGATTCCGTGAAGTTTTCTCTTAGCCCTCCGTTTGGAGTGTGCCTCTGAAAAATCTCTGTTTCGAGGGCTATGTATCCCTACCCCTTCGCCCTACCCCTCGATCTCAAGAAGAATCGGTACACCCTACCCCTAGACGTGAACGCGCAAAACAGAGGGGTAGGGCTAAGGGGTAGGGCCAAGGGGTGAATTGGGATTGAGCCATAGTGTGCACAATAGTGGCAGTAAAGCTTTGCAATCATTTGCTACTGATATATATATATATATATATATATATATATATATACAGTATATATATACCGCTGTTCTGAGATAATCCAGTCATTTCTATAACGAATCCATGCAATTAGGAATTTTGAGTGAGGGCAAATGATTGCCCAACACAGATTTGGAATCGGGTTCAGTTGGTAATACAAATTTGCTGTGTCGACCAACAGAAAGCTGCTTGGTTTGAAAGTGACTTCAATTCGAACATTGCTTCATGCATTGCTAAACTATTGACAAGAGACAATTGAGCTTTTTTTTTTGTGGAACACAACAGGGGGAATTTTAAAAGACTATTGCTCTTGCCCACTCTTTTGAATGGAGAATAAAGCTTTTTATAAAAGGATCATAAGTCCATACAAATTCTAACCTCACAAATCAAACTGGTGCAGTTCTGCAACCTTTACATCTCACTGAAGGGAACCGTGACATCAGAAGAGTTGGATTAGAGCGCACAAGTTACTGTATATAGGCCATTTAAAAATCCCCATTCATTGTGATTGTGTGGAAAAGAGAGATTAGCACATTTCTCAGAATTTCTTCTTTTTGTTCCACAGAAGACAGCAAGACCTAAGGGTTTGGATGAGTAAATGAATGATAGAATCAACATTGCTGGGTAAACTATACTTTTAATCTGGTAAAATCTTGTAATTTTAATTGTTGTAAAATTTTAAGATGGGGCCTGAATTCCCTAACTGACTCAAATATGGGAAGTCTGTGTATGTGAAAACAAAATATGTTATGATATATGCAATATAGAGTGTTTATTTAGACTCAAATCCAAAGTTATACTAGTAACTGTAAATTCCACCCTCATCCACTCAGGTCAAGCAGCAGACAAATTACAAAGGCAAACACCCCTTTTTAAACGTTCATTATTGCATTATGATTGGCAGTGATGAGACAGTGCAGCCTAATTGTAAAAACCAGTAATAGCTCTGAATCTGCTTTCTATTTCCATTATGACCCCCTCTGCACCCATTATTTTAAATGAGCACAGAGACCTTGATATGTCATTTTTGAGAAAAAAATTCCAATTATTTTGCCAACAACTAATACTAAATAGTCAGCCAGCCTCACATCGCTCAACGTTTAGAATGCAACTACAAACAGATCAATATTCTGTCCTGTCCACAAAAACAAAGATAAAAGATAAAGAGCAAAAATCTTTAACAATGTGCACCAGCCAAAGAAAGAGAGCGATAGCTTTTCGTTGTTTGTTGTCTCTTTTTTTTTTTTTTTAGTCAGGGAACTGCATCAGCCCTAAAAGGATCATTAAAAAACAAACACGAAAACATCTCATCGATTAGGCCTCTGCAAATGGCTGCTTTGTTGGAAACATCAGCTTGCGTGGGGTCACAGGTGAGCGATGCCTGTACTGTACAGCTGTTATAACAGAGCTGATGTTTATAAAGAAAAAAGAACAAGAGAGGGAAAAAAAACAGATCAATAATGAGTGTGCTTCAGATGAATGGTATCAGAGCATAGTATCAGAGCGGCAGGACAGTCATAATGAGAGAATGGCTGCTAGAAAATAACACAGCAGGCAACAAACTCTGAAAAAGAAATTATACTTAAAAGGCTCAAAAAGGAGAAATCGAGTTTCCTCTGCCTTTAATAAATCTCACACTGTACACCTATGCAAGCACTCAATTTTATTATCCACAGGCAAAAAAAGTTTCAATGGTTTGACACTAATCTTTCTGCGAACTTCAACGGTTTAATCCATATTTTATTTTGGTTGGTCCAATCACTAATACTAAGAAGAACGATTGCTCTAATGAACCAAGGCAAAAGTTTCACCTTACATGGAAAAACGGTTACAAACTTGGGAGGAAGTTTGTAAGAGAATTAATAGTACTTAAACAGGTTTCTATGGGTTTAGCTCAAACAATTCAGGCACTCACTTTTTCCATTCCAGGATTTCCACAGAAATGGCTCGGAAATTGTTGTTTTCATAGCTAGTTTTTATATAAGGATGCAAATTGTTTTTGTGATATGATTAACATGATAAGACATAAACATTTCTCACTTTAAAAAAAATGAATGTGATTTAAAAAGTAAATAAATATTCTAACAATAAATTAAAGTTGGAATGACTCAGAAGTTGCAATAATCTTTTCTTACCTATTGTTATGTATATCCGAGTGAAAGGCTTCTTTTAAAGAAGGGCGGGACTTGATTTTGTCCATTAAGCATTGATTGGATCATTGGATCAGTGTGCCCCCTTTTTTAGCATCGTTGGTTGCAAAGTTTTTCCATTCATTTCTCCCATAGGGAAATTTTTTTAAGTCTAAAAAAACAAACCAAACCAACCCGCTACAAGGTGAACCATAACATTACAAACTTACAAACTTTGATCTAAAGCCAAACTTATTTGAAAATCGGACAAAAAATAGAAAGCTACAAGACTGTGTACTTAATGGCTTTAGTAAGAGGAAAGAATAGTTGATTATATAAAAAAATATATATTTTAAATGTATTGCAAAAACACAAATTATTTTAAGAGCAAAGGGAAGCAAACTTGATTACATTATTTGAGGTGTTTCATGGGAGTGGGCGAGTGAGTTAATGAGTTTCGACTCGAGTTTCGACTCTTATTGATGAAATATTTTGCAACATCATGGGTAATTTTTTTTAACAAAAAAATCCACTGCTAAACAATTATTTGGAAAAAATTAAGTAAAAAAATAATGTGGGCTGATACCTCGTAGCTCATATAGGGGTCTTTATTTAACGGTTTAGAAGTTAACTGCTAAAAAAAGCATGTGTTCAACCAGACGCTAATTTGTGCTGGTCTTAGCATTGGTCATTATGGAAATGATCTGCTGCATCTGTGTCCATTAGTTAGCTCGTCGTCAGTAGATCACGTGAAGAACTTTTCTCTCCCATCAGCGCTTTTATGGAATTGCGCTCTCACACTAATTTGCTCCGTTTGGTAAATCTGTCCCTTAAAATTCCTTCTATGTTGTTTGAGGACTCAGCATGTTCTTGAACTTAAAATTGAAGGATTGCCCAATCTAAGGTAATGTAGAGATGGTAAGAGTTTCGTCCAAGAGTAAACTGCCTGACTCTGGACTATGGGGGACTCAAAATATCCCTTCATAATTCCTCCAAGACTTAAGTGCTTCAACAACTGTTTTTCTAAGTTTCACTGAAATCTCTTTTGATCCACCCATACTGCACTTCAACACAGTTATGAAGAGCAAATCAACGAAAGTTTTTAAATGGCAGGATGAGTCAATCCCACACTTAAACATTTGGTACAATATGACTATACTTCAAACAATAGTGAGTTGCTTATAATGTCTACATGGACAACTCTGTTAACGTTCATACAAAAATAGCTCTACTTATCCAAACATGCTCAAGAGACTCAACTAATGCTCTTGGTTGATTCAAGCATCATCTGACATGAACATTGCTATGCAAATGTCTCAATATAAAAAAAATAACTAAAAACAACATTTATATGCACAAATTTGAAAAAAACAAAAACAAGTGTATGATACAGCAAATGCAACTATGCAATGGTTTTATGTAAATTCTATAAGGCTGTGTGAAAATTGTGGGTGCTTGAAAGCGTTCTGGCAGCGCAGCGTTTTTTCCATTGACATGTTTCGTTGCTATGATACAGAATATCCGCAGCACAGTTTAATTGTAACTGATTTCGCAGATAATTTGTTTCATACTAAAAAAAGTATTTTTCATCCATTTTGTTCGGTCAGCTCTGCTGGTTGATGTCGTTGTATAGAAAAAATGTTGTGACAGTTGGTCGGTGTGGTTTAGTCCCGCCCCTCCTCCACTGTGATTGGACAGTTGGGTAAAAACTGACAGTAATGAGCGCTGAGTTTTATCCAAAGTTGAACATTTTTCAACTCTCGGCGACCAGTAAAAAACGCCGGGCGCTCAGCGGTTCAGCGTGAAAAAACTGCTCAGCGCCTAGTTATGCCCATGGCGTTTAAAAAACACGGCGCTCCCATTGAAAACAATTGAAAATATGCGCCAGGCGCGTGAAAAAAAAAAAGCTCAGCGCCTAGTTACGTCCATGGCGTTTAAAAAACGTGGCGTTCCCATTGAAAACATACGCCAGGTGCGTGGAAAAAAACGCTTTGGTGGACACACGGCCACATTCTGCAAATTATGAAAGTAATCAGAAACTGTTTTTGAAATAAAGTCTTTGAACTCATAATCTGAAGGCATTTTAGTAAATAAATTTATATTTACACCAAGAATACTTAATCCTTCAAGTCTAAACTTGAGTGAAGCTTTGATGCGTTTTTTTCCTTTTCTTTTCTTTTTAGCATAAAGCGATATTGAGGAAGTCCAGGTAGAGGCTTAACTCTGAAGGTCATCTGCAATCTGTTTAAAACCATCTATTGTTCAATTTATGCTAATATTTTATTTTGATAAGAGATTTTCTTACTCTCTGGCCTTATGCTAATACAGTTTATAATAACTTAGTAGTTTACCAGAAGGATTTGAAAGGCGTAGTGATCTCAAATCCTTTCCTCTCCAACGGTTTCACACACGCAGCCGTCAGGTCCACTGCAGCGATAGCCAGCCCTGCATTAAAATCCTGTGAACAACCAGCATAATATCAAATTAAGACCTTTATAAAACACTACATTTTTCATATCCACATATATCATCAGGAACAAAAATAAAGAAATATACATAGTAGTGCAAATGAAGCAGATAATGTTCACGCATCATGCATGTTTTAGTGTTGTGCGCTCATTTTTATGTCTTATGGAGGTTAATGTTATGGAATCATAAGTATCTGTGGTGTGTGATTGACAAGAAGTTGAATTTTAATGTTAATGAGGAGATGATTTGCAAAAGAGGCCAGCAACGTCTGTACTGTCTACGGAGACTGTCCAAATTTAAAGTTGATAGGTCTTAAATCTCATATTGAGTCGATTTTTTAACATTTAGTGTGTTATGGTGGTATGGAAGTCTTGGTGTGAAGGCAAAGACTGCTTTGGTGAAAATAATAAATACTAACACTAAGATCTTAGGAGTTCAGCAGAGTCACCCTACTGACCTGTACAACCAGCAGGTAGTTAGGAAAACCTAATCCATTTTAATGGTTACTTCACATCCTCTCTATTCTGAGTTTCAGTTCAGGATCTCGACTGAGATTTCCCTCGGTTAGAAATAACGGATATAAACATTCATTTATTCCTACTTCCGTTTCTCTGTTAAATTTGGGTATGGCGGGAGTAGGTGGAAGGAAGTAGTTGTTTGGTTTTTGTGTGGGTACTGTGTGTGTGCCCTTATTTTAGTGTTAATTTGTAAAGGTACCTTTTTAACTTTTATTGAAAATATGAATGTATTGTAAATTGCCCTTTTGTTTGCTGTCTTGCTGTAAAATGAATGGCCCTTCGGAGACATATACAAATAAAGTAAAGTAAACTCAAGATAAGTCACTGCATTTGAACAATCCAACATATTCACGGGCTGAAGCCAACTATAAAATGCAAGGAAACTGTTGAGTGAGAAGGGTCAAGGAGAGCACAGAACAGACACAGAGCTCACTGGAGGGTGAATACCTGCTGATTCATTGATCAGCATCTGAATGAATGACAAAGTTTATTTCACACAAGAACAAGCAGGAAATACACAACAAACTTTATTATAGACTTCACCGAATACTTCAAGGACAACAGCAATATAAAGACCGCAAGGGGACAAGAAGAAAGGAGATGACAACAGTCTAAGGCTGCCGTGTCGACCCTCTCAAGACATTACTTATACTCAATATCAAGACAACACTATGATGCTTTCCAACAGGTTTTATCATAGTTTTTGTCCGACTAAGATAAAACCTTCTTTTGCAGCAATTTTTGCGTGAGCATATCAGTGAACACTCGGTGAGTTTCACGTCTTTGTAAACTTTGTAAAGTTTAACGCGTTTTATGAATGATTGTTCCAGTGCACAAATTCTCGGGACAGCAGCATTTGTGCAAATTTAAAACCGTTCTGTTTCATCAGAAACGATCTTAAAACAGGGCTTTAAGTGTAACATACCGAACTAACCCTTTAAGTGAACCAAACAGCAACTTGACAGCTGAGTGGAAGAGATCAGCATTTGGTATTTTGATAATGACTTCTTTTGTGTTTTGAGTGTCATGAAAGCCAGTCGATGACACAATTTTCACTATAAAGCAAATGATCTGTGAAAGGTGAACTCGATTGGACTCACCAAATGTAGTCGTTAATATGTGATTCCACACAGCATTTAAATAGACACATTTATACTCACAAAATGTATTCAAATTGATCATCAAAGGGGGAAAAAAACCTTAAGACACTTAGATAAGAATTTCTGAAATATGTCTTATAGAAATGAGTGAACTTCTGACTGCACAGTGAGTTGAGTCATCTTTGCTGCAATGTCACATGTAATTAAAAGGAAAACTCCCTCAGTGAGACTCAAAAGTAGTGACACATGCCTAATCTAGTAATAGAAAGTCTGGTGTGAACAGGTGTGAGTAAAGTTAAAGGTAAAGAGAGAGAAAGAGTGATACTTAAACAACCGCAGTGAGGTCATTACCCAAGAATGATCTCATGAATGCTATTAAACAGACACACTGCAAGGCCTTTCTTTTCAATTTACTCATTTTACACTAAAGCTTTTTTGACATTTCATGCCTATTCTTATCTGCAACATAAAAACAGCCCCCAGTCTTTTATTTCAGAACCCTAAGGCTCTGTTATAAACCTAGTGAGATGCCTTCCTCATTGCCACACGTGCAACTGCCTTCTCCGGAAGTGAGAAGGAAATAATATTATAAGTGACATAAATGACAATTTGGACAGTTCTGCATAGACAGACACTCTCACACAAACCATGCGGAAGATTTGACAGCTTCGCAGCTGACTGCAGAGTTTGGCATTTTAATACTACATTTTGATTAGATTAAAATACTGAAAAGTATTGGTAAAATTGGTTAAGACATATTATATTTATTTTGTATGAGACATTTTATCTTTGTCTATGTTGGATAGATTTTTTCCACTGAGCTCATTGCAACAGGATTGCCTTTTCTGTCAAGGATACATGTGATGAGGTCTTACAATTTGGACAAAGGAAGGTTTCTAAAACTTTTCACAAATAGTGGATTGCATGTGGTTACAGGGGTTACATTGGACAGCAGTTTTATCACCCTAGATTCAAAAAGAAAAAAAAAATGATTGACAGTTTTTTTGGGGCAATACATTACAGTAAGTGCTCCAATTTTTCAATGTTCCAGTATACACACTCTGAATGTTGCATGGCCCTGGTTTAAAAACAGCATAACAAAACGGAACAAAGAACAGGGTTCTTGAGATGTTATTGTCAAAGCTGAACTACTTTAAACTTGATTCGATACGGTGCATTAAAATAGAGCTGAATAGTTAACATTCAAACAGCAAGACTCAATGTAATGACCAAAGATTAAAAAAAAAAACAGCTCAGACGGAACATTTCGTGTGTGAACAGCTTCTTAATTCCTTTGCTTTTTTTTTTGTTTGTTTGTTAAAAAAATATTTGTTTGGTCAGCTAGTAGACACCTCAGTGCTTAAACCACAAATTATTTGATTAAGATTTGTGTGAAATCAGTTGTCAAATTCAACCTTCATCCACAGCATACTCTCCATTTCAGTAAAATGAAATTATCTGAAATGCAAATGACAGAGCCCTGACACTCCTACTGTCTTTTCATTTTAAGCGTGCAGTTCCGAGTTCGCTTGGACCATGCGCTTGTTCATCCGTGTGATGCGTTGTATGTGCTAAGCATGGTGTTTAGATCCCGACACTTCTGGTTCGGTTTCGGTTCAGTGTCAGGGTTCAGGCATTCATGCTCCATGTTTTGTCTCTTGTACATGCGCTCTCATCCCATGTGTTTTGTAGAGCACATGCTTTATGTTTTCATTGGCCAGAAGTTCTTGTGTTGTCTTGTTCTGTGTAGAATATGGCTTGTGTTTTTTATTTATTGTTACATATTTTCATGTTTAGTGTGGACACAGAGTCGGTTTGTGGGGCTTGTGTTCTCTGGTCATGTGCTCTTATTTTTGTCATGTTTGGTGTGAACACAATCATGGCTTGTCATGTTTGTGCCATGTGCTAACCTGTCTATTGTCTTATGCTGTATTCACATCATGTCGTAATTATCGTAGTCTCATGACGACAGCATGTGATGTTACATGTGATGAACTGGGAATTATGAGTTTCTATGGCACCTCTATCAACTCCTAAATTAATCTGCAGCGATCAGGTGCTACAGTGGTCATGTGGTACAAGTAGGAGCTCTCAGACAATTCCCATCTTACAAGCTGTAAGGTGTGTTCGACATCGGCTGCATGTAACCGATCGGTGAGAGTTGCCGCGTGCAGACGGGGAGGAGCTGAAAACGGAGACGGAAGTCGGACACTTCCTGTTTCACGTAGTGACGCTCGCGCTGCGTTTGCATACTTTACCACAGCTAAAGTGAAATAAATGCAATATTTATCAAATACACAGAGTTTTCAGAGTAAACCCCGAAGCTAACATACTTTTCAACAAAACATATTTTTGGTTTACTTTGATGGCCCCATTAACACATTCTACAACTAAGTAATGTTGCACCTACATGTCAATTAACAATGTCTAATGAGAGTAAGCTGACATGTTAAAATAAAAAGTTATTTCTAGTTAACAGAATGTTCAAAGGGAACCATTGAAATAAAGTGTTACCATATTTTTAGACCAATGTATCATACAGGCTCATTGGGAGCTCAGGCTGAAATTCTAGAATCTCCTAAGACATCTTCTAATTGTCCTCTTAAACTTTAAATGTTAGCCATCAGAGACCCCGCAAAGTGCCATTCCAGCACCAATGTGCTTTGTCTTTCTGTGTTTTTTTGGAGCAAATAGTTTAAGTAAGGAAATCAAAAATCGATGTAGCACTAAACTGTAGTGGCATCACGTGATTTGGGCTTGCCTGTTAGGTTGGCTTTCATTACCTTGGGGAAACATCATTGCCTGACCTCAGAGGAGAAAAGGGCAGCACACTTCATCCTCTCCAAGACGGGAAGGGGGGTAAAAACCAGCGTCCTGGGCAGCTCGTTCATCTTGTTAAATTAAATACTCCACTTCACTGAACATGAACCGAGTTACCCACCACCATACCTTTCTCTCTCTGTCTCCTCCTCCTTCTCTCCATCTTGATGCTCCTTTGTGTTTTCTTCATCCCTCAACAGTCACTGCTGTCTTCACCTCCCTCTGTTATCCCTCCGCTCTTGTCTCTCTGCCCAGTTCCTCATTCATTCCCCTCTTTCCCTCTCTCCTTTACTTTTGCCTCATGCCATCTTTCCCTCCACTCCCTCCCGTTTATCTCACCACTTGTCGGAGTGGTTGCCACAGAGGGGATTTAATGCAAAAACAATACAATCAATTTCCATTTTCACTGCTCTCTTTCTCTTTCCCCCTTCCGCATGCTAAATCGCCTGACGAAAAACAATTTCCTTGCAGAATGAAGACAAAGATGTTTGCTCGTGCTAATAAGGAAAATAATGAAAGACAAACAGAGATGATGAAGTGTGTGTGCCGCTTATTCACACAGAATAACCTTCTCTGCTTAATCTCATTTAAAACTGAGACCAATTGGGTATAGATCACATACATATGCATACGAGGTGCCATGGCTTGCGTGTGCATTGTAATAACTATACTCTCAGCATATGGGCTCATTCACATAGGAAGGAGAACAAAACACATGTACAACTACTTTTAAATGTGTGAAAGTTTCAGTTCTTGACATAACACTGACATAACAGTATCTAATATCACAAACAAAGAGGGGATATAGCAGTGGAATAGATAATAATAGATTAAAAAAGAGGAAGGAAGGAAGGAAGGAAGGAAGGAAGGAAGGAAGGAATGGATGGATGGATCCCTCCAAAAAAGGAAAGGGAGGGAGGGAGGAAGGAAGGAAGGAAGGAAGAAAGGAAGGAAGGAAGGAAGGAAGGAAGAAGGAAGGAAGGAAGGAAGGAAGGAAGGAAGGAAGGAAGGAAGGAAGGAAGGAAGAAAGGAAGAAAGGAAGGAAGATCGTAAATGGACTGCATTTATACAGCTTTATAGTTTATATCACAAACAAAGGGGGGGATATAGCAGTGGAGTAGATAATAATAGATTAAAACAGAGGAAGGAAGGAAGGAAGGAATGGATGGATGGATCCCTCCAAAAAAGGAAAGGGAGGAGGGAGGGAGGGAGGAAGGAAGGAAGGAAGGAAGGAAGGAAGGAAGGAAGGAAGGAAGGAAGGAAGGAAGGAAGGAAGGAAGGAATGGATGGATGGATCCTCCAAAAAAGGAAAGGGAGGGAGGGAGGGAGGTAGGAAGGAAGGATGGATGGATGGATGGAAGATCGTAAATGGACTGCATTTATACAGCTATATAGTTTATATCACAAACAAAGGGGGGGATATAGCAGTGGAGTAGATAATAATAGATTAAAACAGAGGAAGGAAGGAAGGAAGGAAGGAAGGAAGGAAGGAAGGAAGGAAGGAAGGAAGGAAGGAAGGAAAGAAGGAAGGAATGGATGGATCCCTCCAAAAAAGGAAGGGGAGGGAGGGAGGGAGGGAGGGAGGAGGGAGGGTGGGAAGGAAGGAAGGAAGGAAGGAAGGAATGGATGGATGGATCCCTCCAAAAAAGGAAAGGGAGGGAGGGAGGGAGGGAGGAAGGAAGGATGGATGGAAGATCGTAAATGGACTGCATTTATACAGCTATATAGTTTATATCACAAACAAAGGGGGGATATAGCAGTGGAGTAGATAATAATAGATTAAAACAGAGGAAGGAAGGAAGGAAGGAAGGAAGGAAGGAAGGAAGGAAGGAAGGAAGGAAGGAAGGAAGGAAGGAAGGAAGGAGGAAGGAAGGAAGGAAGGATGGATGGATCCCTCCAAAAAAGGAAGGGGAGGGAGGGAGGGAGGGAGGAAGGAAGGAAGGAAGGAAGGAAGGAAGGAAGGAAGGAAGGAAGGAAGGAAGGAAGGAAGGAAGGAAGGAAGGAAGGAAGGAAGGAAGGAAGGAAGGAAGGAAGGAAGGAAGGAAGAAAGGAAGGATGGATGGATGGATGGAGGGAGGGATGGAGGGATGGATGGATCCCTTCAAAAAATAACAAAAAAAATATTTAGATTTACCTGGTCTGTTTTACAGAGTTTGAAGCTGGTTCCCATGAGGATGAGGTAGACTCTTCCTTTGAGGCCGCGCAGCTCGACGTAGCCACTCTTGTTTGTGTTATTTTTGCGAGGCTGACGGGAAATGGAGGACTGGGAGCTCACTGCAGTCTGGAGAACCTCTAGCCAATCCTGACGTTCTCCTTAGAGGGAAGACAGAAGATGGAGGGAGGTAAGAAGTGGTGTGCGTGCCTGTGGAGGAACGCTGCATTCTGTTTGATGTATGTTGGTGAATGCGCAGGTATGCATGTGTGTGTGGAGATGCTGTGCCACGGGAATAAAAGGGAATGGAAAAGTGTCTAATATTATTGTTATACTTTATAAACTCTGAAATCTGCAAACAAAGCAGGTATGCAAAAGCCCCTGTGTCTCATTGTATTGCGTCTGCCTCTGTGTTTGTGTGTGCTTGTGAGATGAGGGAAGGAAGCCTGAGAGGGTTTTCTTGTGCTGTTAAATAGGGCTACAGGGGGCTTCACACAAATTCGTTGCAAGCACACAAACACTAGCCAAAAAACATTAACAGCTGGATACTCTTATCCTCTGCAGGTCTACAGCACCTGCCACATCCAGAGAGGGAGAGATAGAGAGAGGGGGAAAGGGAAGAGAGAGCAGGATCTCATTTCAATAAAAGTGAGTGTTTCTGCGTACATTCATTGTCTATCGGACAAAAGTCAAATTTTGCTTTTTAGGGTTTTTTAGGGCTCGTTTAGAGTTTTAGGCGCAATGTAAATGTTAGTGCTTCAGTTATATACCATATTTGACTACTTAAGTACAGTTCCATTTTATGATTATGAAAACAAAAGTTTGATTCAGTAATGACACTCACATGTGCATATCTGCATTACGTAGAAACTAAAGCCACCTGAGAGAGGTACATTTTGGCAATATTACTCTTTACTTGCCTCACTCACTCACACATCTCATTCTGTATTCCTCACATTGCACAAGAAAAGAAAGACTGAAATACAAACGTGCAATAATGTAACAGCTTTCCCCACACTTTATGGACTGACATGTGTAAAGTATTTTTTTGCCAGACTGCTGTCAGGTAGTTTTACTCATAGGTGATAATTAAATAACACCAAAGAATGCAGATAACTTTAATTTTGTTAAACATTCCACCTGGGTTTGATTTACGAATATAATTTAATCCATTACAAACATTTTCTCCATTTATTGATAAACGTCCACTAGAAGGCTTTGTGTGTATCAAGGTCAAAGTTTGGCTAGTTAGCATGGTCCCAACATGGGGTCAGTAACATTGACAGTAAAGACATTTCTCAATTTACATTTATAAAATTGTAGTAATATTTCACAGCATTCCTGTAATTAAAATCAGATAAATGTAACCTTAAAAACATTAAATAAATCTTACCGAGCACAACTTCTTTTTAACAGAAACGGTAGCACACTTTAGTTTAAGATCCAATTCTCACTATGAATTAGTTGCTTATTAGCATGCTTATTACTAGTTTATAAATAATTTTAAGCTCATATTAATGATTTATTCTGCATGACCATATTCTACATCCCTTAATCCTACCCAATATATAAACTTAACCACTACCTTACTAACTATTAATAATCAGTAATTAGAAGTTTATTGAGGCAAACAAGGATGAGACAATTGGACCCTAATCCAAAGTGTGACCGAAATCGTTTAAGCCGCTTTTCCACAGTTGGGCCAAACCGCTCTCGTTGCTAAACTGTTCCATTCAATGGTGATCCGGCCCAGCAGGTACGGATATGATTTAATTTTCCAATGTGGAGCTGATAACAGAGCTCTTTGGAATGTAATACAAATGCGTCAATCATTGCCTCGGCAATGCAAAATTTTACAGATGGAATGAGATGTAAATAGCAACTGCATTATGGAGGATTATCAGATTTTTCTGTTAATTTTATTATTAATTAACGTGTGTTTATTCGCTTAAATAGCACTCTGTCAGCTACAGAGAAACTGGTAGCCAGGCAACAGACAAGTGACCAATCCTGAGTGGCGACGTCACTACACGCTTTCTACCAGCACGGTTCAGCGCGGCTGCTCAGAGAATTCCGGGCCGCGAACGGCCGAACCAAGTGGAAATATAACACTCCTTACTGTTATAAGAACTGTTCGGCCCAACGGTGGAAAAGCAGCTTTGGTTTCAGATAACTGGATCAAAACAAATTGACAGGAGAACTGAAAGCCCAAGATTTCAAATTATATAGACTGTCTTAATAAAACATACCATTTCATTTTACAGACCTAGTTATCACTGAGAGTGACCATAGCTTCAATACAACCTCACAGAAAGTTACAAACTGCACTTTGTGGTTACCCATAAATTCTGAAATCTTGAAAATTGGTGGTTGTGAAAACATGTATTTCCCATTCTCCATGAAAACATTGTTATTCACAAAATATTACACTCTCTCTAAAAGAAGAGACCTGCACAGTTGAAGACTGCCCCCGAAAGAGTGGATGCCATGTGAATGTTTTCTCTCTCATGCACACACTCTTGTGCATCTAAATGATTCCCAATGTGCAGCTTGATCTCTAACACTAATTCTCATTCTTATCTTTTGTGCTCATCCCATGACCACCCACTTCCAGCTCTTTCATTCACTCACTCATTCTCTCTCTCCTCTTCTCTTGTGTTTATCTTAAGATTGATGACTCTTTCAGACTGCTATAAAGCTGTTTAAAGATGCATGAGCAGATCGGACCAGTGCTCTCTCTCTCTCTCTGTCTCTGAATTCTTCTTATGGTGGAAAGTACAGTTAAATGCATGTCTAAACTGACTTCCCTCACAGTAATTCACTTACAAAGGGTCAGAGGTCATTACACAAGAGCTGGGGAGAATAGAGTGACTGAGGAGACCATTATTTGTTGATATTCTAGGACACTATGGCACACAGCAATGCTATTAGCCACAGATTTACCACAGTAATTGTGATACGGATGGTAATTGATTGGCTCATGGCGAATCCCTCACCCTTAGACTGTTGCTTTTACTACATGGTGTCCAAATAAATAAATAAACTACAATACAAAAAGTTAAATAATCTCACCCGTCTGAATGGCCTTGAGCAAGTCAAGTTGCTCCATTTACAAATAATGACAAATCATGTGTGTCATGCTTAGGTTTACAGATATTCAGTGTCGACAGAAAGTATTTGGAGATTTATGGAACACTCAAAAATGTTTGAGCTTCATTGCATCAGAAACAATATATAAAATTAAATGGAATGACATAAATATTTAAGAGTAGTTTAAGAGGTCAAATACATTTTGAGGCACTGAAAATTCCTTTAAAGATGCAATATTTTGTACAGAATAATTAGTTTTTAAGGGTCAAGAACAGATTTTCATTCCTGAATGTTCCAAAATCACATTTTTTTGTAAGAAACGCTCTGTTTAGTTCCGGTCTCAGTGAAGCCCCTTCTTCTGAAAAGCACAATGAGCTCTAATTGATCGGAAGAACCAGTGTGTTGTAAATAGTCAGTCACTTCAATCGTATTTTGGAAATGTCACGCCCATTACCATAACCACATATTTTAACACACAACTAACACAGCACAGCCAGGCCTTGCCTGGTTATTAAGAAAATATTGCATAAAATATGCAGGCAATGATGTGCAAACAATATGCACCAACAGGGTGTTTACTGTACATATTAAATCTAAAGCCATCATCATTGTCTCGGTTGTTTCAGCTTCTCCTGTAGTCTGGCCTCTCTCTCTCTCTCTCTCTCTCTCTCTCTCTCTCTCTGTTTGATTGGGTGTGCTGTGAAAGATCTACTCAGAGCTTCTTATCTTATAGCAGAGATTGTACGATGATAAAAATATGAGCGAAAGATGATAAAGGAAAGAGAGTGGAAGTGAATTGATTTAAAAAGGATTAGTAAAAAAGGGGGTCGAAACATGAGACAGACAAAAGCAAAGAGGCTCACCTTCTTTCTCTGCCCGAAACACAAAGGTTCTTACAGAGGTGATCACCTCAAACTTATTTTCACCCAGAGTGCGAACTTGTTTAACTGCTGAAATAGGAATCAGGCCCTTCGAGTACATCTCCTGTAAAGAATGAGGGAGACAGAAAAAATATTCATAGTGTGTATGGACAAACCACCAGTCAAAAAAACTGGACACACTTGACAATGATTGTCTCTCACTAAAAAACTTATGAAAACGATAATCAAACAAATGAAAACAAACCATACCAAAATAAACACACAAAAACAAAACCCTTTTGGATGCACTGGATCAAATAGTGAAGGAAAGCCCTTTACAAGATTACATAAGTCATCTCGTGAATTTGGTTGGTGTATATACTGTATACATTATTCCCATACTCCCATTTGAACTGAAATGCAATGCAAATGAATAATAATAATAATAATAATAATGATGATGATGAACGATCATTTATCAACACTTTTGGCTGGTAGTGTACGGACATTTGCAACATCACTTTCACACATTGTTTCCAACAGAAAGCTCAATCCAGCCATAATACATCTGCTTTCTGTAAAAGAAAAGAAAAAAGAAAAGAAAAGATGGATTGAGTCAAGCACACACTCACACACTCAAGCAGGCTTGATTCCTAATACCAGTCCCCAGCTAACAGGCTTGGCACTCCAGTATTTATAGTCTGATGTTTTGTGGGAAGAGATGAGGGAAACAGAGCTAGTTGTTTAGAGAAAGGAGTGTTTGGTCTCTCTGTGTGCTTCAAACCAACATAAGCCTGCAAAGCAGCAATAGAGCTCTGTGAGACCTCCTTTAGTCTACAGAACTCATACACAGCACTCCAGCCGCTCTAAAACAGCAGACTGTGATGGATAGAAAAGGCCAAATGCTGTGGAGAACTGAAAATGAAGTGAGAGAATGAGAGGGGAGACAAGGGCTGTTTCAAAACCCAGTGAGCTGCCTACGCAGGTAACAGTTTAGGCAACATACAATATTAGACATCTTCATTGAGCGACCTTGTTTTAACCGAATACGAATGTAGCGTTGCATAGATCTTAATGTGAAGGTGGCAATACCAGTATGCTCAGCGGGGGGGAAAAAAAAAATCACTCACTACTGTTCAGATATCTGGGTTTGGCAAAAAAAGTTTTTTAATGTTTTTGAAAGAAGTCTCTTTATGCTCACCAAGGCTGCAATTTGTTGCATGAAAAATATAGTAACAGTTATATTGCGACATTAATTCAAATAACTGTTTTCTATTTTAATATATCTTAAAATGCAATTTGTTCCTGTGTTGGCAAAGCTGAATTTTCAGCATCATTGCTTCCAGTCTTCAGTGACTACTAATAAGCTGATTTGCTGCACATGAAACATTTATTATTATCAATGTTGAAAACAGTTATCCAGCTTTATATTTATGCGGAAATTGTGATTTATTTCAGGATTCTTTAATTAATAGAAACAGTAAAAAACTGTATTTATTTAAAGGTGCATTGCGCAACTTTTCATGTTAAAAATAGCCGTTTTCTAACCCATACATGCTTAAACAATCGCCTGATGGGCTGAATGAACCCTTCTTTGATCACTGCGATCGCCTATATAACCCTGTACAGTGAAATATATAAGAGGGATTCGGGCTCGAATCTGAGACTGGGCGTGACGTCATGCGCGTTCACGCTCGCCTGGCTATGTCTGGCAGGTTCGTGTAGCTATTCGCCGCCGTTCTCCGTATCAGAGAAGACAACTCGAGCGACACAACTCTAGTCAGCTTTCCACAAAAGTAGACGATGGATTCAAAGGGGCTGTTTACACCTGGTCACTTCATGTGTCTTCTGTGATCGGATAGCTATTCGATCGTGAAAAGACCAGGCTGCCCTCCGAAACGCATTCGATACGGATTTGAATTCGATCGCTCAAACCACTTGAGGACGTGGTCTGTGCCGTATTCCAGACGAAACTGGACAAGTGTAAATGCATCTGGTTGTTGAAACCAAGCTATATGTCATGATATTAGTCATATATGACGACGCGCATCACCTGAGCAGCTGAGCTGAGCCCCTTCATCAAGCGCCGCAATCTATCGCAAATCAAAGTGAATTAGTGAAAGTAAGTCGCAGACGCTTAACACTACCATCTTCATTAAAAGTAAAGAAATGAATTGATCTTACCAGGCCTGTTGCCGATCTCTCTTATTGCTGTCTTTGCTGATTTTGAAATTAGCCGATGATTAATAAAATCCAGCTCATATCTGTTGCTTTCGGTGACGTGCACTTCATTAAATCTGTATATGGCGCGGAAAGAGACCGGCTTGTAGCTCATTACAAACCCCAACGCAAACTCCACGTGAGACAGAAAATAAAACTTCTGTCTGTCCAGTGCCATGCGTCGGAATAAGACGAGAGTCAACATCGGGAAGCTTTCAACAAACGGAGAGATCTCCGGTCGTCTCTAGGGCTCAAACGGGTCATAGCCTATACAAAGTGATAACTGAACGTGTTTCCATAATAATTCAATCATAAGTGGATACAGTAAGCACAGGGAGATAGATGGAAACAAAAACCGAAGTTTTCTACTACCCCCGTTTCCCCCTCTTACACAAGTGTGTAATTTACTCGAATGCCTTTCCTTTCATATATTTTAAATGACTTGCAGATTTATTACTGTATTACCTCATTATGACTGTAACAAAAGATGTGTGCCGCACAGTGTGCGGCTGATGCTCCTTAGTTATGAACAGCTCGTGCAAACGTGCGTATGTGTTCCTCCATGAACGCGCACAGCTCTGGTTGCAGTTTCGCTTGTCGCCAGAGGGGGCGTAGTTCTGCAAAAACTCAGAGACTTGCGTTTAGCTCCTTTAAGAAAAAAATGTCTTTACCGTCTTTTTGATCAAATGAATGCATGCTCGCTGAATAAAAGTATTAATTTCTTTAAATAATCGTAATGACCAAAACTTTTAAAAGCTACTATATACAATATAATAAATATAGTATTCATTAAATACCGAGAAGTTACCAGGATTTGAGTGTACTATGAACATTTATGATTGATTGTAATGTTGTTCACCCGTATTGAATTCAGTCTATTCGAGTTGCTTTCTACAGCATGTCGGTCGTCCCAAACCATTTGAGTATGAAGGTTCAATTTCAGTTAAAATGCTTCAGAAGATAGCATGTAGACACTACTTCATGCTATTGTAGGAGTTAGTGTAGTTAACTGTGTTTAGGAAGAGAGCTAGACTGAGTTCCACAGACAGAGAAAAAAGGCAAGAGAAGAGAATGAGATGGGAAAAAATGAAAGATTCATTTGTCCATTTCAGTTGGCTGTTAATTATTATGATGACCTTGCACTATTTCTAGAACTCGTCCATCCAGAAATAGAAGAGAAGATTTAGTGAGGGACCCCCTCCTCGGTCTAGCGCAAATGGAAGAGGTAATGCCAAAGAAAGACAGGAAGAGAACGAATGAGGGAGAGAAAGCGAAAATACAGAGAGGATGGGAAAAAGAAAGGGATGTGATAGCTTGGGGATTGCTTGATAGAGAGAAAATGAGTGAAGAACCGAGGGATCAAGGAAGAGAAGCTCACAAAGCAGAGAGAGCGTGAGATCGCGAGCGAGAAAGTAGGGGTCAGAGAGAGCATCATCTTCTCAAATTAAGGCAGCATGTTAACAACGATGGGCGCAGCTAACCCTAATTATGGTAGAGGGCAGCCATCACCACTCTCCGGGATCTCGCTCCTCACTCGCTCTTTCTTTCCAATTTTGCATCCTTCCCTCCGCAGCCATGTTATGGCCGTGAACTCCCTGGCATTTTAATGAGACTTCCTCTGTCTAAAATCTGGACAGAAGCGGAAGAGAGTAAAGGGGGATAAAAGTGAAGAGGTGTGCATGTTTATAGGAAGCTAAGTGGCAATAATGAGGCGCTCTCTAAGCTGGCATTAATTATTCATTATAATTGCAATTTTCAGGGTCGGAATGATGAAGGGGGCTTAAAGAGTACATATGCAAACGCAAGCGCATCCATTAAGAGTTTAGAGACGGTTTAAGTAGGAGTGTGCATAGAAAAACAAAGATGTATGGTGCACAAAAAGTTTATAACAGCAGGATGTACTCTTCCTGATATTGTTTGTGCACATATGTGATGGCATGTCATGCTCACAGCAGGTTGTTGTATACATGCACTTTGAGGATCAAGAACATATAAATCTGAATACGCGATAGAATTGAAGAGGCTGGCTGATGAAGTCTACATTTGATCAGAGACCCAGAGAGTGGTGCAATGCCATTATCTTTTGTTTTCACTAGTGCTGGGTTAGTTCTGCAGTGGAGCCATGGGGACACCACCTGGAAGAGGGGCGCTAATGCAAGTGAGTAAAGTGTGCAAGCTGACTTAAATATATTGTGTGGAGTAAAAATCAACAAAATGCATTTGTATTTTTTTTTTTTTTTTTTGTGCATTGTCCAACACCAGCCAGAAGCACACAGCTGAATGTAGTATTCTAAAAGATGTGTTATGCCCACCAAGGCTGCGTTTATTTGATTAAAATACAACAAAAAGAGTAATATTGTAAAATATTATTACTATTTTAAAAGAACTACTATAATATAATACTATAAAAATGTTCTACTATAATATATTATAAAGTAGAATTTATTCCTGTTATGGCAAAGCTGAATTTTCAGCATCATAATCAGTCGTTGGTGTCACATGATCCTTTAAGAGATCATTATAATATGATTTGATGCTCAAATATGATCAATTACTGGTCCTCAAGTTTTTGCTGCTTTTTTTTTTTGTGGAATTCATTTTTCAGGATTCTTTGATGAATAGAAAGTTGAAAACAAAAGCATTCATTTGAAACTGAAAACTGTAAATGTCTTTATTGTAAATTTTATAAGAATAAAAGCACATCAGCAAATTGGAGTCATGTGACACTGAAGACTGAAGTAATGGCTGCTGAAAATTCTGCTTTACCGACACACATTAAAACACACATTAAAATATATTACAATAAAAAAATGCAACATTGCTGTTTTTATTATGTATTTGATCAAATGCAGTCTTGGTGAGCATAAGAGACTTCTTTCAAAAATGTAACAAAAAATATATGATCTTTAAAAAAAAAAAAAAAAAAAACTTATTCCAAACTTTTGACCATAGTGTAGTTGCAGGTCATGGGAAGCTCACATCTGCCCTAAACTGGATGACTACAACCATCAAAAACAAAGGGCGGGTGGTGAGAAAGCTTTCCACTGGCACTCCCAGAGGACTTTTGAGCTTTTCTGGATTTTCAACACAGTTGCACTCAACCCAAACATCTCCACACACCCTGCCTACTGACAGGTGACACTCTAAACCTCTTTCACTCACACATAAATGCTACATCGCAGACCTGGTCGCAAGGTTGATGAAACATCAGGTAAGTCTGGGGGGGAGACCATGCTGCTCCGTCCCCAGGGGTCCTACAGGAAACCAGTGGGAGTTTTGTGCTTGCCTCTCTCCCACGCTAAAGGAGGTCTCTGATTGATGACATCATTATGCGATGTCAAGAAGTGAGCAGTGATTGAGATTAACCATTTCAATCAGAGAAGAGAGACTAAGGAGAGAATGTGTCCACTGAGGACAATCAGTTGGAGGACAATTTCTTTAAAACTTTCCTTGATTACTGATGCTTTTTTAGAATAATTGTCTCTTTTCCTCAATTATTAATACATAGAAGAAGGCAAATAAGCAACAATCCAACATTCAAACATAAACGCACTAAAAAACCCACAGCATTTTTGCCATGTACGCTCTGTTGTTGTAGATAGTCATCATTGCGCGTTCTCATTGGTTTGCTGGCATATGGGGGATTTAATGTGCAGGTTAAGTTGTCCACGGATCGCTCCCCAAGAGGAAAAATGTGCTGCGGCTGCCAAATCTCAGCCAACGAAAATGATATTGTGTTTGATACAAGACTATGTACTAAATCAAGTGGGGGAAAAAAAGTCATAACTGAAACTATTCTCATAATATTTTATTTTCTCCATAGGGACCTTTTTTTTTTTTACGAAAACGTATAAACTGTTAAAACAGACCTAAGCAGAACTGTAACTATCTGAGGTTGTTTATCGTAGTCTATGCATTTGTTAAAGTCATCAATTTGCATTCATAGACGTTGGAACAGGGGTGGGGGGGGGGGGAATCGGCCGCCCCCAGCCGCCCCCTAAATTCACCTAAGCACGGGCGTCAGTTTGAAATTTGCTGGGCACAGAGACACATTCGCTAGTATGTATTTGAGTGTTTCAATGGTCTAGTGGTAGATCTTTTGCCAAGAGTGTCAGAGGTTACGGGTTCTAATCCGCCCTCGGTACAGTTTTTTTTTTCTCTCTCATCAAAACAGAATATGTCCATCAGTGGTTACAGTCTATATCAAGCATAGGACACGTTTATTTTGTGATTTTACCGGAATAAATAGTCTCTCCGTAACGGTGATAGATTGAAGTGCGCGCAGTGCGCATCCGAGTGAAGACTGCGCGCCACAAACTGACAGCAGCGGAAAACATTTTAGCGCTAGATCTCTTATTTAAACTAACTAAATTAATGCTCTTCTAGTTAACAGGAGATGTTTTATTGATGTTTAAAACGTTTTATTTTCCGATATATGGTGACACAAGCACTGATGGATCAAGGAGCGGTCCATCAGTGCTTGATCACCATCAGTGTTGGGTAAGTTACTCTAAAAAAGTAATTAATTACTAGTTACTAATTACCTCTTCAACAGTGTAATTAGATTACTGTACTAATTACTCTCTAAAAAGTATTTAATTACTTTTAATTACTAATTACTTTCAAAATCCATATCAATCTCAACCAGCTAAATAATAGGGGTAGACATGAATCTGTTTTAATTCTTTCAAATATAAATACTATAAAATTGCATGAATTATCCTTAATCTGACCAAGGTGGAGAAGGTTACATTATAAAAACATACTTTTTAACATCAGACAATACATTTTGATGTTAAACCCACTATTGTTTTATGTCTGATCTCATGACATTTGACCCTTTTTTCATACATATTTTACAATAATTCATACGAATTTGTACGAGTGCGGTCGTACGATTTAGACACCTCATAAAAAGCATATGAATCGATCGGATTGATCTATACACAGTATTTACCTCAATTACATCAGACGTAACTGTAATTAAATTACAGATAAATGAAGAGTAATCCCTTACTTTACATTTTCAAGGGAAAAGTAATTAAATTACAGTAACTAATTACTTGGTAATTAGTTACACCCAACACTGATCACCATAAATCGGAAAACATTTGGAATGGGTCAGACGTAATTCTGACTTATGTTTTTTAAAAGAATTTCGTTTTTTATAAATTGTATTTCAGTTTAATCAATGGTTTTAATCAACAAGTTGACTGGATTAATTGTGACATTTGCAGTAAAAACTTGAAATATAAATTCTCAGAAAATACTTTTAGTAGGCTACCAATATATTGAAACGGCGCATAACTCCGATAGACCCCCCGAACACCCCCCACACCCCTTTATGTGACATTTGTGCCACCCAGTGTTGCCAAATGTACAATAATTTCAGAATTGTGTGAGCGTAAACATAGGGCTTCTATACTCATTGATGTAGCTGTGGATTCTACGTGTACCGTCATGATTGTGAGGAGAACGTCTTCCATCTCATCTCATGTTATGTTTTCTCGGCCAATCATCGTGGAGAATGACTCTCTCGTGAGTTAATGTTCTTTTTGTATATTGTATACAATGTTGTACATCATTATGTCATCTCTGTATGTTTGGCAAGAAGAACAAAAAAAATTAAAAAAATAAATAAATAAAAAAAGAATACAAAAAAAGTTAACGCACCATGGCGCTTTGTCAGTTTATTTCAAGCTGAGGTCGTTAGGTTGGCAATAAATTAATTTCCAGGTCATGTCATAAAGTAATTTGTCAATAAATTGCTGTATTCTGTATGTTTGACTCATGTACAATAATTTTCTTCTAAATATGATAATTTTGAGCTTCTGGAAGGATACAAGACATTTCCAATCTGGCAACACTGGTGCCACCTAGCGGAATTACAAAAATACGGCACATTTGGCAAACCCGTGACTCAACTAGACCATTTTTACCGATGCTTGTGAATGCATCGACTACTTTTCATTTACTTTCATTAGCTAACACTCTGTCTAGAGCGAACACGCTTATTATAAACCCATCCAACCTGCACCAGGTGCCTTTTTGACAATCACCCAGCATACCCGCTTAAAAAAGTCACCGCTCGCCACTGACTATATATATAATGTAGATAATATTTATATTTCAAATAAATTGTGTTCTTTGAATTTTATCGAGTTTAAAATTTAGCACAGTTTCCACAAAAATATTAAGCAATACAACTGTTTTCAAAATTGATAATAATAAAAAAACGACACGACAAGTACAAAATCTTACTGACACAAATTGTATATTTGCACTATATCAGCCAATTGATTATATTTGACTTATCCTATTTGTGATAATTATTTAATTCAAATAAATCTGTCATGAAAACAAGTTATGAAAGCCACAGTGTAAATTATATTTCAACAACCTAAAGGACTTGTAGGATCTGTTGCTAACGTCTTAATGTCAGATACCCCAGAACACCTTCGAGAGTCCATGCTTTTGCGGCTCGACATTGTTTCAGCAGCACGTGGAGGACCAACAGCATTAGGCTTAAAGAACTAAAAGGAAAGACAAGAGCATGACACACCCAAATCACCCTCCCCCATTTCTATTAAAGTGTCCCCTACCCCCACTGTTTCACACTGATGATATCACCTCGTTCCTGCATTCAGTGCTTTTTCTGTCCTACTGTGATAATACTACCAATATCTGCAAAAAGAGTGACTGAGTGACAGTCGACAGCAATGGAGAATCATTTTAGTTTTATCCCACTGCAAGTGGAAATTAAGAGAGGGATTTGCAGCAGTTGGGACATTCTGAGATCCTTTAAACTGATTGTACATGCTAAGCTTAAAACTGACACCAGTCTTCTAGACTTGTCAAACGCTTCCCACTCAAACTGAAACAAGAACATGAAATGGCAGAGCCCTCGTGTGTGTGTGTGAGAATTAGCGAATATTGGTTTGTCACCTTATCGCTGTTGTAGTAAGTGAGATTTCCTCGTTCAAACTTCACCCATCTTCTCTGAAAGACACGATTCCTGCAAGAACAAAATGAAGTGTCATGTTGACAAAAGTAAAAACTAATGTGTTTTTTGTGTGTGTGTTTCACAACATTAGTCATGATTTCAAATTAAAATGACTATCATTGGTGTGTCGACTGGTGTGTCAACTAAATATCGTACGAAGAGAAGAGAAACCCTTAACAGGAAGGCTGTTTTTAACAGTGGGTTTAAAGTGTAAAAACTAATACCAAAATAAAGTGTGAAATATGTAGTATCTTTAGGTATGTCTTTAGTAAAGCGTTGTACACTTGTTTTCAAAAGTATGCTGTTCAAAAGTATGTGTAGTCTGATTTTTTTACGCTTTTGAAAGAATTATGCATTTAATCATAAATATAGTAAAAAGAGCATCATTTTGAGCATTACTCCAGTCTTCAGTCACATGATCCCTCAGAAATCATTCTAATAGGATAATTTGGTGCCAAAGAAACTTCTTATTGAGTTATTATATTGACAATTTCTAATAATGTAAAAGTTATCCATACTTTTGATTTTGAATTTAAAGCATCTGTGCTGAATAAAATCATTCATTTATTCTTTTTTTTTAATTATTTTATTATTACTATCCCCAAACCTTTGTACAAGGAGGTAGTCTTGGTCTTGTAACATTCAAATGAAAAAGAGTTCAACTGTTTCAACTGTTATGTATTAATGTAATATTTTCATTCATTTTAGAAAGCCAACAGAACGAGGCCACTTTGCAATTACAGGCGACACTGATTAAGAGGAAATTGACTCAACATGTGATGTCAAGTTGATTAAGATATCAGCAATTCAACATTATTTGATTCTTTGAATTTAAACAAATGAAGCAGCAGGTCATGTGGTCAGAGGGAACACCTTACTGCTCTTAGAACTGAAGTAAGTAGTAATTAGAGCTGTTAAAATGTGAAATGTGTGTTTTGTTATGGGACTCTATAGAGGATTTGAAACATTGGGCACTTCACAGTCAGCTCACAGCGGTGTAGAGTACAGCTTCCCACGGTTGTACCGCTTTAGAGGACTTGCATGAGAAATGCATGGGACTTTTATGATCAAATGGTCTCTATGCACATCCATATGGAGTTAGAACGAAACTTATATGTGATTATTCCCTAACATTGATACTTTGATGTTTTAGTACTCACCTGACAGCATTCTCAAGAATAATCCTAAAAGGAAAGTTTAAACAAAGAGTGCAAAGCATCAAACAGAGGCCTTACCCTTGAGGGGAAAGTTTGTCCAGCCAGCCTGCTTTGACGACAGAGTTACGGGTCCCATAGAAGCAGGCGTACGGAGAAATGGAAACATCTATTTGAGGGGGTAGGTCATCCAGTACCATACTGTATATGTCATTCACAACTGTTTGTGGCTGCGCCACAGCTGACGGTGCAGTGCTCAAGAGAAGAGCCGTGGGTGTAGGATGATTAGAAGAGCTTTCATTAGCCAATCGCTGACTAGGTGTGGACGCTTGGACAATGGAGTAACCATCATCATTATCAACATGTTGCTTGGAAAGGTCTTGCTTGTTATTGTGTGCTTTTTCTTTGGTCCGTGTCTGCTTGTTTCTAAAAAAAAAAAAAAATAAGAACAAGAATACATTTAAGTTGGTATACGAACAAGGCTGTATAATAAAAAGTAGCTTCATTTAATTTCTATCTAGAGGGATAGTTTATTCAAAAAATAAATAAATTCTCCCATCGACACCCTTATGTCGTTCCAAATTTGTACTGTATGACTGAATTTGTTTTTGAACATGAAAGAAGATATTCCAAAACTGTTTGGTTAAACAGCATTCCTCCAAAACATACAGGTTATACAAGTTTGGAACAACAATACAAGAAGGTGAGTGAATTTTCATTATTGGGTGAACTATCCCTTTAAGAATAGACAATTTTGATAAGGATATGCAAGGAATAATTAATAACTAATTAATTACTGAACATTTATTTACACCCAAAGGTCTAATGCCAAATCTGAGGACTTCACATTAAAATGTATCATTTTAGAATTAGGTTGTTAAAGTCCAAACTAAAGGACACTGGAGTTCAACCACACTGTTTACCTAAACGTCTGCTCTTCCAGGTTCTCATTTACTCCTTGATTGGACATTACATCTTTGCCCAAATCCTGAAAATCAAATACAAGCAAGATGAAACTATAATACACACCTAGACACCTCTATGAACTATAAGTAAAAGCAAGCCTATTTTCAAAATGATGTTTTAAAATACCATTCACCCTTTTTATGCATGTCTAGACCAAAATAGTCTCTTAAATTGTTATATTGTGGTTTCACCAATTTTTTGTTTAGCTTTCACAGGGAAACATTTTGAAGCATACCAATGTTTTATATATATTAGGGCTGTGCAAAAGTTAATTGCGATTAATCGCATCCAAAATAAAAGTCTATGTGTTTACATAGTATATTTGTGTGTGCTGTATATAATTATTTTGTATATATAAATACACACACATGCATGTATATGTTTAAGAAAATGTGTTATTCCTATATAAAATATTTATATTTATATAATATAGATTATGTATTTATATATATATATACAGAATTTAAGCGCAAATAATTCTTAAATATATACATGCATGCATAGGTATTTATATATACAAAATAATTATATACAGCACACTCAAATGTATTATGTAAAACAGACTTTTATTTTGGGTGCGATTAATCGCAATTAACTTTTGCACAGCCCTAATATATATATATATATATATCAGTATATCAGTTTCATAGAGCAGTGACATTTTAAGATGGAGAGGTGCTTTTTGGTTTTCAACTGCAATAAGTAATGTGCTCTCAAATCGATTTAGACAGTGCTACTTTTAACCATTATTTTACATTATGAATGATACAGTTTGGTTGCTTGGTCCTTTAGGTCAGATTGCTTTATCATCACAACAAAACCAATCAAGAGTTCGTTTTCAATCAGGCCGAGACCACATCGTTCAGTTGACATCAGACTGATTATTTCGGTGTGAATCCGAGAGTGACTGCCATAATTCACAACTAAGGTAGAAAACGTGCCATGTTTTGAAAACGAATTCTCCAAAATAGCTAGGTGTGAAAACCGCCTTACTGAAACTGTAACTCATAAGGAAGAGGTGTTAAGAATAGGAATATGCTCTACATGTGAACTCATTAGATCATGTGATTTTACCACAGAGACATCATTCATTTTATCACAAAAAATTCCAGTACAGGTATTTTTTTGTATTCACTTACCAGTTCATTTTCCGCTGAATTGTACAGAAAAACCTCCCCATATGGGGCAATGGGGGACAAGGTCCTTTGAACAGATGCTGTAATTAACACAACAGGAAAGAGTCATTATGACAAAACAGGTTGTAGTTTTGGTGGTGTGTGTCTGTGAGGAGGGCAAAGGAGAAAAAGTAAGACAAAGAAAGAACGAGGCATGAGAAAGAAAAGAACAGGCATAAAATGAGATCCCACACATTGTCCTTTAGTGCAGCCAGCTTGGAAAATGTACCAAAGTGGGAGCAGCTTGGGTGACTGGTTGTCAAGGTGACAAATGACCACCATATCTCTGCGGAGACAGTAAGGGGCACCATGAATTCCAGACTGTTCCCTCCGGATGGACACACATAGATGTATAGCTAATAGACAGGGCCCCCCGCAAGATAAGACCCTACTGTAGAGTGTTTGATCTAGACACCGCTATGTTATCTATGACAGAACTGTACTGTATAGTATCACATCTTAAACCAGTAGCTGAGGTGTCATTCCAGATCAGTGTCATCGTTTATCATTATCAAGAGATGACCTTCTAACTACAGATGATACGTCGCTCGCTCTCTTTTACTCCCTCTCTGCCCTGTTTTATCGGTCTTCTACAAGGACCTTCTTCAGGAAAATTGTGTAAATTGCTCACAGAGCGTTTTTTTAAACGAACGTGGGATGGTACAGTCATTTTTTGGCCATTTCTATGCTGTTATCCTTAATTTGAAGGTGCCAAAATATTCTAAAACCATTTATTAAACCTTGGTTTCTAGTTCTTCTCTGCTGCAAACTAATTCCCTTGTTCACAGTCTACACTTTTTAGTTTGAGTACTTTAAACTTTTCCTCTAAAACTTAATCTACCTTTCCATTACATTTCTCCAGAGTAAAGAACAGAATTAAGATATACAGGCATTATTATACTACCTTTACACCCAAGTCTGGTTTTTGACTTCTGTGTAACTTCCAATTCCCTACCACACACACACACACACACACAGTCTCCTGCAAACAATTTCCAAACTATTCCTTTAGGACACTAAAAGTACCTTTCCAGCTGACAAACACTGTGACTGGGACCCAATGGAACATTTCAAAGCCAAAGTTGGTTTCAAAGGCACACACAAAAGCAAGTTTCTGTAGGTTTGGCAAACTAGGCTTCTCCACATACATGCATACGGAGATGAGATCAAATTCCATTGAGAGATGTCTCTTTCCCAGTGAATATTTGAAATCTCATTTATTGTAACAGGGTGAAAAATGGCGAAATGACTCGATCATGAATCATAACAAAAGAAAACTGGAATAAAGTGAAGCATGGTGTACCTTCTTGACTGCTTGTGGGGCAGACAGGTCCCTCAGACCTTGTGAGATGGTCAGAGTTGTTGTGTTCTGCCTCATTCCTGCACACACATTTGAGAGGATAAACATGTGAATGTTTTTTGAATATCTGACTGAATAGATTAAAAAAAAAAACAGTCCCATTCTGTGAGGCTCGAATGAGTAAGATGGTAAGATAAATTTGAATGTCATCAGCATAGCAATGGAACTGAAATTCTTGCCTGCATTTGATGTTACCAAGTGGTTGCATTTAGATGATATCCATCATCTACAATTTTCCGAAAGGATAAATAAATCTCTATCTATGATGAACAATAGTGGACCAAGAACTGAACCTTGAGGTTCAGTTGTGCGAGTGAAGCAGTGGCAGAACTATGACATTGTAATACTTTATGTCGCTAATATAGGAAATGAGCCAGGAAAGAGCTGAATCAGTGATGCCGATATCAGAAAGCAGAGAAATAAGTAATTCATGGCAGACTGCGTCAAAAGTAGTGCTTGGATCGAGAAGCATCAAGATGTTTATCAACCCTGAATCCATGGACAAAAGAATGCCGTTAACCACATGCAGAAGTGCAGTTTCAATGCTGTGCAGTGGGCGAACACCTGACAAAAAAGGTTTAAAAGGACTATTTACATTCAAATAAGATCGCAATTGCGAAGCAACAACCTTTTCAAGGACTTTGCTTAAAAATTTTAAATTTGATGTTGGTCTGTAATTGTCACGTCCTGTTTTTTTAAAGAATGGGGGTCACGGCAGCTGTTTTTAATTCTGCTGGGACAATGGCGGAAGCCAAACTACAGTTTATCATATGTGTTATGAAGGTTGCAACCTCGAGGACACACATCTTAAGCCAGTGTTTCTCAAAGTGTGGGTCGCGCCCCACTGGTGGGGAATAGAAACATGACAGGTGGGGCGCGAGAAACGGGAGAAAATGTGGTAATTTTGTGGCTATCTCTATTAATTCCTAATTCCTCTATTATTTCCCTATTTATTGAGCATAAACTCAAAACAAAACGACGACACATTAAAATGTAAGCCTTAGTTAACCTTTTAACACGTAAGTTTAAAAGTTTTAAGAGGCGCCCATTATTTAGATCGTCTTCCTTTATGGTTTCCATGGAGACGCGTCATTGCTTGTCACACCGCAGACACAATAGCGCTGAATGACTGATTAACTGCTTTTATTTCACAAATTTGTTGGCTATCGCAGGAAATATCTGACATTCCAATTGTCAAATATGAGCAGGTGGATGTGTTTCTTTAAACACCTTAGTTGAGCTATACGCGGGTGTTAGTTTATACAGCATTTTAGAGAATCTGATCTGTTGGATTTAACAAACGTCAATTTATCCACTTCTCCCGAAAGACATGAAAGTAAGTGGCCACCGCTGGCCGGTAAACTGGGAGAAGCATAGAGTAAACTTGAAAGTTACTTACACGATGTGTATTTTATATGAATAATACTTGTCGTCAAATTTTAATGGAAATAATTATTATTTCGGCTTTCGTTGACATAAGTGTGTATTTTACAAACTCTAAATGTATTGCTTTTTTAGTAACTTTTGTGAATTTAAATGTCTGAATCTAAAATAAACACTATGTGGTTGAAAACACTGAATAGTTGTGATGTCAAGCAGAGAGCGCTCTCCATCTCTGGCTCAGAAAATATGTGTGGCCTACTACAAACCAGGCTTATTGCAGACACTAAATTAGTTAATCACTTAATTTTGAACTTTCAAAGTGCACCAGATTTATAATTTATTTTTAAAACGTACAAACTTTTCTTCCAGAGGAGCATGTCCCCGGACCCCCTAGAGGTGCAGATGGTCCACACTACACACAAAATACTGTGGGAAACACAGTGGCTTATATGATAGTCTTCGAAAAATACAAAATACAATTATTATTATAAAAATACCTAAAATGCGAACATATTATTAGTATTTTACCACCTCATTAACTATTTTATGTTATCAGAGGCAAAATACAAACACAATTGCATTATTATTTTTATACTGTTGAGTTTTTGTTTTTAAAATGTCATGTTGATAAAATACATTTTAACTAAAGCATAGTTTATTAACATTTTTGCGCGATTGCAAGGGTGGGGCACGAACCCTTCCCTACCTTGAAAGTGGGGAATGGCAGAAAAAGTTTGAGAAACACTGTCTTAAGCAAACCGGTCAGTGTCGGATCGAGCCGGCAGAATGTGGAATTTGACTTCACAATTAGATCACTTTGGTATACAATAGGGGTGGGAATCTTTGGTCACCTCACGATCCGATCCGATTCCGATTCTGGGAGTCACGATCCGATTCCAGAACGATTCTTTATATACGCCCCCTTATTAATTCATTAGTTTATATAATTAAGTTGGCCTACTTTTTTAAATAATTACAAATTTTCAACAAAATAATTAAAACGTGTAGGCCTATTTTAAGAATTTTAAACTAATAACTTCAAAACAGACAGCAAGTAGCAAATAATGAAAAAGGAACATAGAAATATATAACAAACAACAAACAAAAAAGTGCTTTCAGTAGCCTATAGATTATCTGAACGTTTTCCATTCAAGAACTGTGAGTGAATTTTCGTAATCTTTACTGTAGTTTTTTTTTTAAACTGCGGGAGATCTATTAAGCTGCATTCACGCACGCATCTCTTTTGAAATATAAGAAGTAATGTGGTTTGTCCTGTCCGTTTAATCCCTTAAGACATAACTGGCTGGCTGTGTTTACGTAAATGTTGCATAAGTAAATTAAACCACGGAGACGCACAGCCGCATGCGCAAGCAGTCTACACAAACAAAGCATGCGTGAGGACTGAGGATTTGAAATTGAAAGCAGTCTTCCTTTAGTGAGGTTCAAATTTTAAATATATAACTCCACTGCATTCCAAACCACATAAATGATGACTTCGTAGAGCATTCGTAAGGAAAACACCGAAAGGCGAGACAGCACACTTCAAGTGTAACATCAAACAAAGTGCGTGTCTCTCACAGCACATGCCTCTCACAGCGCGTGCCTCTCACAGCGCGTGCAATGAATCCTGTGAATGTCCTCGTAATTCGCTTCAATCTTTCCGAGCTTTATGAAAGATTATTGTACGGAAGGTTCGGGTGTTGTATGTAGGCCTATGTGAGGAATTAGAAGCAAGCAGAATACGGGTGTTTCTAAAGCAAACTCAGCTTTATCGCACATCTGGTTAAAAACTAAACTCAGAATCGATTCTGAGAATTTCAGAATCGTTGGAGAGAGAATCGCGATGCATCGATGGATCGATTTTTTTCTCCCACCCCTAGTATACAACACTAATCGAAAACCTTTGGTAACAAGTTTGGTTAAAATTATTTCAAATTCGAGTCCCTGCTCATGGTTATTTGATGACCCCAACCTCTTTCTTTCCCACTTTGTTTGATGTCCGCTCTCAGTTATACTATCTAAATAAAGGGGAAAACTTCAAAAACATTTGTATATTTACTCACCAGTCATATGGAGGTTTGAAGGGATGTTCAGGAATCTCTGGTACAGGCCTGTGTCGTAGCTTAAAGGAGCGGGTGGACCTCGGCTCAGAGGGTACCTCAATGAGGGGGCACTCCTCATAGATTTCATTTTCAACCATTTCTCCTTGAAACCATACAGAAGCTCCTTCTGAAGGAAAGTCATCATTCTCATCTGGAATAAGATCTTCTGAAAAGTTCTCCAGTGATTCACTGCTGCCATGCTCAGAAGCTGAGCTAGAGCTGGAGGAAACAGCATGACATGTTACACTAGGAAGTGTTTGAAAACCAATTGCCATCCGCTCTGAGTGAGCAATAGTCCTTGCAGGAACAGTTTGGCTAGTCATTTGGATGTTACTGCCCTGGGAATGCTGACAAGATGTTCCTCTCTGCCTATCCTTGGGAAACACTTGTCTAGGCCTTGGGATCGGCTTTCTCCTCACTGGTACTTTCACATAACTATTATTCCCATTTGCTTCCTCCACCATCAGCGTCTCAAGGCTGCTTAAGATCCTCCGTCGGTGTCCTGTGGGAATATGGTCCACCTGTAGAAGATCCTCCTCAGTTAGGCTCTTGAGGTCCTTAAGGCAACGGTAGCCAGCCTGGGCAAAGCTGGAGGCATATTGGGGCAGGTGCAGACTGTTCAGCCACGCTGTAATATCCTGATCAGGCTCCATAGAAGATGAGACACAGGGGTCTTCAGAGGTCACCAAATCTACAGTATGGCATTGGTTGACAAGGTTCCTCTGAGACAAGTTGAAAAGATGTGGGATCACACCCTAGGAAAAATAAAATAGTGTTTAGGGTTGGGCAATATGGCAAAAAAAAAAAAATTCAGGCAGGATCACGATCCATGATCTTATCCATTCTTTTTCAAAAGATTGACAGACCATTTAGGTAAAAGTCTATTCAGTGCTTTATTTTTAAATGTTTTAATAAAATTTCTTAATTGAATGCTAAATACTGTTAAAAACAACTATACTGAAGCTAAAACATATAAATACTGTTAAATACTCATATTGTCGCTAAAAAATAGGTAACACTTTACTTGAAGGGGTGTGCATAAGACTAACATGACACCTTTATAATCATGACATGACACATGTTATGAATATGAAGGAAGTTTTATGCATGTTTATGACAACTGTCATTAAGTGTCATTCGCTCAATTATGAAAATTTTAATGCAAATATGACATTGTTTGAGATGTCTTTGTTATGACAACTTGACATAAACCAATACATCATAACCTGTCAGAGTCTTTGTCATGACAGGTTATCATGTATTGGTTTATGTCAAGATGTCATTACAAAGACATCTCAAACAATATCATATTTGCATTCAAAATGTCATTATTGAGTGAAAGACACTTAATAACAGTTGTCAAAAACATGTATAAACCCTATTTCATATTCATGGCATATGTCATGTCATGGTTATGAAGGTGTCATGCCAGTCTTATGCACACCCCTTCAAGTAAAGTGTTACCTCATTGGAAAACAAAGATATGCCTAAATAAATCTATGCTTTTTTGCCATGTGTTTTAGATTGTGTCATCCCCACATCGCTAAACTAAATCGAAAAAAAAAACATTCATCAAATGTGATCTGATCACGTTATTTTTTATTACATCACAGATAAAAACAAAATGAACGTTTTTCTTTGCTTTATAACTTCCAAAGGATAGCTGATGCAAGACTGCACGATCTCCCAAATCCAGCAAACATCTGACAGTTTCTACTGCTGCAGAATAACAGTACTATAAGGTTAGGCTGGTTAGTCCTTTGACTCCTGCCTAGTGCCTACCTCTGCTTTCAAAGATGCATAGTCATTTCTCAGGTCTGTGAGGTTAGGCATACGCCGAGTTTCTTTCATGAGACCAAAGTCCAGTTTGCGCGCTGTCGCCTCCGTCATAATCATCTATTGTTTACTATATATTTCCTATTTATTAAAACCATTCAATTGGTTGATGAAGCATTGATTGAAATTAAGATACAATTAGTGAAAAACTAAAATCACTTGAAAGAAAGGTTTCTTTGTGTTTTTTGTTTGATCTCTGTAAAAGTTTTAAAGTCGCTTTCAGAATGGTCATGTCCGTGAATATAAAACACATGTGTAGACCGATATTTTTCCAATGTCTGGACCACTGATCTATATAATTTATCATTCTAGATGAGTGGTCTGGACTAGAGTGCTAGCATTCTATGTAAACAAATACTTCAACAGGAAGTAGAAAACCGTCAAGTCAGTTGAACCCGCTATGAATCATGGGAAATAGAACGGGCGCAGAAAAAGGTGGATACATAGAAAGTAGACAGAAATGAAAAGTTATTAGTGTATGCAGTATGGTTGATGTCCAGTGTTGTGAGCTAAGCAGAAATACATAAGCATGTTTGGCTTGGTCCCCTCAAAAGTTTTCCTCCTCAGCGTAAAGGTTACAATACCTATCTATCACTGTTTTCCATCTGAGTTTCTGGAGTAAATATATAGGCTATAATCTATGTTTACACCGCACTTTTTAAAAATGGCGTTTTGCTTGGATTCGGCCAATCCACATACACTGACTAACGTCACTGATATCGTTAATCACAAGTTCTGTCGTGTTCTCTTTTTACCAGCAGACTCTCTGCAAAGTTCTGTTTACTGTTCAGCATTATTTTAGGGTTTTTTTTCAAAATTTTACATATATTTTAGCATTGTATAGCAACGCATCATACAAAGCTGCGTGTTCCAAGGCACTTGTGGGCCTTTAAAAGCAAGCAAGATAGCAATTAGATCTATCCAGCATACTACAATACTCTTTTTCTATTGTAGGATTAGAGATTCTGCAGTGATGAAACCGTTCTAAAAAGATTCAGATGATTTACTGGGGTTTTTTGGAGAGCGGTCAAAAACAATCAATTCTACTTTTGAAAAGTGTGTAACTGTATTGACTTGGAAAAATGTTTGCAATGATTCATAAATTATTACACAATACAACCTTTTAGGAGAAACGTCGAAAATACTCAAGGTCTTGATGTTTACATTCTAGTGAAGCAACAACCGCCATGCAAATTAATCATCTTACTGATGATTTTGGCATACAGCTCATGAAAACCCCAAATTCCTGTCTGCCAAAATCATCAGTATTAAAACAATAAAAGACCTGAAATATTTCAGTTGGTGTGCAATGAATCTAAAATATATGAAAGTTTAATTTTTATCATTACATTATGGAAAATAATGAACTTTATCACAATATGCAAATTTTTTGAGAAGGACCTGTATATGTGTATAAACACTTGCATACTATTCGCATACTATCCACATACAATTCGCATACTATCCGTCCTAAATCGTATTCGAAAATAGAATTAGTGCGTCCCAAACCGTAGTATGTTGAAATGAGTGTTTCAAAGATACCCGGATGGTCTACTTTTTCCGGTCAGAATCCGAAGTGTAGATCGATGCACACTCTAACGGCTGATATTGCCCACAACCCTTTGCGCATTGGACGAGGATTCGGTTAGAACTACAAACACCAGTATAAAGTGTTAAGAAACTACAGACACGGACGGAGGACGTGCAAGTCCCACGGTTACGTTGAGAGGTTTAGATAAAGAGGTTTGAGTGATTAATTAACACTATCTAACCTAATGAAAATTTATTTATTCAATGTTCTCCACATTATATTGCAACATTGTGAACTTTTGTAAGGATACATTTAACCGTTACTTTTTAAATGAATCATTATATTCAAATTGCAATTACGAGGAAAGTATCCACATGAAAGACCCACGACTGGCGGATCAACGCGCTCCGATACGGTAGGAAATCAAATTAGATTGAATGGAGGATTTTAACTGTGACAAGATGATTTACAGGGCAGTTTATGGTGACAGGATGCACACAGAGCCGTAGGTTAAAGATGACATGATAGTATGTCCCAAAGCTTGCCTACTCTTTTGCTACACACTCAAAAATATGTACGTTTTCTTCACAAAAAGAGTACATACTTTTAGGGCGTAGTATAAGTAGGCGAATTGGGGCGCAGCAACTATCTATAGGCTATCTCATTCCAGTCTAGTCCAGTCCAGTTTTTTTTTTGTTTTGTTTTTTTTACTGAGAACTTTTCAAAAATAGATTCTTTATAAAGTTTTATTCTTCAGAGAAACATGGCCATATGTCCTCTTTGTTAACAAGAATCAACACTAAAGGCCAATTTACCAAGACAAGTGTTGAAAATGTGAAAATTCGATGCAATAAACATTTTAATTTGAATAAACAGCCAATGAGCTTACTATACTTTGGTTTAGTATTGTTAATGTTATTATATTAACAGTTACCAGTTGATGAAAACTATATGTCATCCTCAAATCTTATTGGTTACACAATCAGCTTTGTTAGCTAACTATCAGCTAACTATCATGTTACTGTTCGTTTTCTCACACAAACCGCTCGTTTCGTGTCTTAGGTCATCAATGTGTACTTACATTTACGAGTCATTAAATCATGTTTAATTTTGACTTCTCTGTGCATGCTTTTTGGTGGACCCCCTTGGCCTCCAGTGTATGACTCAGGGTTTCCGTTGTCCGGTAATTACCGGACATTGGCCGGGAAAAAAATGAAATGTCCGACAAAATTAAATCTCTCCGGTCAAATTGTCAGATTAAAATTGCCTAATAATCCAGCCCCCCTAACACAATCTGAATTAGAGAATAAGCCTAAAATATATAAAGCAAAAATACACCGACCTTTGGCTATGTTATAAAGGAACAGGCTCTACCGTTTGAATGTTATTAAAGACGGCACATACAAGGATGTCAAAGTGACCAATTCAAGCGACCGCAACATTCAAGCTTTCAAAAAAGCCAGGGAACGCTATGTTCAACATCTGATGCCTTGCAAGATCGGTTCCCCGAGGATTACATGGATCTACTTCACTGCCTCGATGCCCTTCTGAATCCCCAGACACAGTGGAAAGTAGGATCTGTTGATTTATTATAGCCTACAGTCATTCTACAGAAACGTCGGTCCCCTTTTATGGCAAGATGTCTTTATTTATTTATTTTTCTAACATTTAAACTTACACGACATTATTAAAATTTAAAATATAGGCTAAATAAAAATGTATATTTTTGTGCATTTATTTAAAGACGGCATGTACCCGTATTTTCCGCACTATAAGGCGCACTTAAAAGCCTTCAATTTTCTCAAAAAACGACAGTGCGCCTTATAATCCGGAGCGCCTTATATATGGATCAATTGGTTAATAACGCTCCGCGTTACCTTACCTAACGCTAACGCTCAGCCTTACCTTACAAAAAACTAAAGAACAACAACAACATTTTCCAAACAGAAACGTTTCATTTCAAATTACAAATTAGGACTAGCAAGAAGAGGAATGTAGCATAGGCCTACACAAAAAGTCCTGTAAAATTAAACGAATAAATGGGCCTAATAATATTAATACAAATTTTATAAACAAAAATATACATAAAAGTTTTAAAAGTAAATTAACTATAGGCAGAGGTTTGACAGAATTTTGATAACTGAACTTTTGCCCAACGCACACGATAAAAATGTAAATGGGTTAATAACCATTGTACACACAAACTGCTGTGAAATTAAACGAATAAATGGGCCTAATAATATAACTAAAATAAAAATATGAACAAAAATGTAAAAAAAAAATTATTAAACGAATAATTGGGCCTAATAATATAACCAAAATAAAAATATGAACAAAAATGTAAAAAAAAAAAAAATAAAATAAAAAATTATAGGCCTACTGTAAAGG